TTACTCGGAATAAAAAACACTCGGTAAGAGATAGTAATTATGCCTCGGATAAAGAGCGAATTAACAATAACATGACTTCCTAGCTTGGAAAAGATCGAATTCTTCCACTCTGCTTTTGTAACGTTTGAAGGATACGAACCGTGATGTATGCAGTTTCCTAGCTTGTAGCCGTTCAGTTAAGTTCCCTTTTGTGCCGCGCAAATTGCTTTAAACGAGAACGCTGCGTTTATATAAAAAACGTTTGCCATGAACAGTATTTTTCTCTCTCCCTGTGCGATTCCAGGAGACAGCTGAAGTTCAGGCTACAAAGATTTTGAAAATCAAGAAAGAGAGAAAATTTCTGCGTTACAACGCGTGCTAAATTGCTTTTGTCCCCGCGATTTTCGCTTTTGAAGGTTGCGCACGAAATAACAACTCACGCCAGACAAATCCATAGCACAAATATCCTGTCAGGATTTTCTAAAAGACTTGTTGCCAAATCAAAACGCTCTTGATAACAGAGAGTAAACTCATTTGAAAGAGCTCAGCTATTTTTTTCCCAAAAATTTCAACATTTGGCGGCCGCATTGCTTGGTTGCACCAATGACTGATTTTACTAATTACTGTAAGGCCAGTAAAATTTCTTAAAACCGATAAACTTTTTCGCTTAAAATTAAACGAGCTTCGCTCCGGTGTTGCTGCGTAAAGCAGGTTGCAACAATTTTGAGTAAGACATACTTAAATGTTTTTCTCAGCTTTGTGAAGCAATGTCTTTCCTGTTCGATCATTTCTTGTTTATCATGGTGTTTAAATAGATGTTTTACCACAAATAGTTTTCGAAAAAGTGTCGATGCATTCCTGCTTTAAAAAAGTAAAAAACAAGCCGGTCAAACGCTTAAAGTTTAGAGTCGTTGCAAAAATGACTGGTTTTATCAGCCCGTTAAAACCAAGAAAATGTTTCTCTGTTTGCTGAAAAGGGCTTCACTGTTATCATGACTGCGCATGGCGACATAGCCTGTTGCAACAACTTTGAGTAATAGATACTTAGCTGTTTTTTTCGTCTTTTTTAAATAACAAAAAGAAGTTTCTTCAATTAATTGTTTTCGTTCAGCTCTTATGTATTTTGTTCTTTGAATAAATGATTTGCCACGAATAATCCTACATTGGACTCGTTAGAAAAAGCAGTCCGGCGGTCAGTGTTTTGTTGTTCAAAATTTGAAGTGTTTGAGCGTAGTTCTTCATATGTTACCGTTAACTTTTTACAAATAGACCGTAAAATGACTCAATAAGGAAACTCACAGTCTCTCGCAATATCGAATTCGACCACATAGAATATTTTACTTTTAAAGTGAAAACAAAAATAGCGAAACAATTCTTACCTTTTTTAGATTGGCGCCACGCGCGAAGTTGCACAGTTAAAATCTTGCTTTGAACTCAGTAGTTTTTTAAGACTCAGCAAATTTCTGAAAGAAAAAGAGTTGAAGTTTTCTTATTAAACTAATATCTTCGGCGCATAAATACTAATGTGAAAATTTAGTGAAACAGGGCGAAGAAAAAAAGGATTTTCAGTCACACGACTTCTTTGAATCGGAACTTTGCAGAATATTTGAAGTGACTAACCTTTTCTAGCATTTCTCTCTTTTCAGGTATCTTTCTTCTTGAAAAGTCTTTAAACTCTTTCTAAAGACCTCTTTCTGCTCACAGGTTGGCGAAAAAGCAGGTTAAACATAATTTAGTTTCCTTTTTCTTACAACAAGTCGCTGCCTTCACGCTTCTTTGCCCGTTTGTAAAAACTGGCTGAGAAAAAATTTGCCAGCCAAGCAACAGCCGAGTGCGAAGTTGGCGCCAATGACACCACGTGGTTTAAATCCTTAGGCTTGATTGGCTTATTGCATTTTTTCATGACAGGTGTCAATGGGTTGTCAATCATTTAATCAAGGGAGAAAGTTTTGAATAAATGGTTAAAGGTAGAAAGAAAGATGTGTTTTGTATTGGTTACGATAAAATTATAATTGAAGAGCAGCTAATATTTAATTTCCTCATGGTTTGGAAAGGATAAATTATTCTCCCGTTTTTACAAGCCTCATGCACAGAATTTCTTGATGGCTTTTCTTCGTGAAACAATGGAGGCTTAATGAGTTGTGCAAAACGTACGTGCTCAAAGAAACTGATACATTTCACTGATGTTTTCTGCAAAACAACTCTCTGCTGCGAAAACAAAGAGCGAGAAAAAAAGTTCTCGTGTCAGTTAAACTTGACCTTGAGCTAAACTTTGAAGCTGTAAATTAAGTGTATCACCATCGTGGCTTCCATTCCCATGTTTTTCTCTTCCTTTCTTCAGTGCAATTCAAAAACATCACTTGAGGGAACATAGTACCGCTCTCCCCACCCATAGAGGATGTTTAGATGGATAGTGGGGGTGGTGGGGTGGGGGTATTAGACGCGAAGATAACTGATTCAACTGATAATATATAAATATACCTGAAACTTCCCAATACTCTCTTTGCTGATTTGTAATGTGCTCTTTTTTGAGTGGCATTTACGAATCTGTTCTCTCGTTGAGGAAAAAAAAAATTTAGATCCTAGTCACGTGGTCTCCAACCCAAGAACGAACATTGGGAATAAAATACATGACGTATCTACCTCCGTTGTGGATAATTGGCGATGACTTGTTCTTGAATTGTAAATAGATTATGCTGAAAAAGAAGTTATCCACATGGGATACTAAATGAAGGATCAGTCGAGGTAAAGCATGTTCTATATTCTCAGTGAACCTAAAATGAATAATTTGTCCTTTAGAGGCCACACCCCTGGGCTGAGGACTTGCCTGTTATCTGACCCGTGATGTTTTCCCTAAAGTATTTAACCCCAATAACTTCCATACGAAAGGGCTTTATCCTTGAGAACTTAAATAAGTACACACTTTGAACCCTCGAGCTGCTCTGAGCATGAGAATTCCAAGGAATCTGGTTCTAACCCTAGCAACCAGAAATTAATTATACAATTTATGATTTTATAACTTACATCAAGAACTCTGCCTTTCCTTGGCTCTAAGATAAGCAACTGCAGTGTTTTCAATGTAAGTTTACTGTTATTTTATGTCTGCCATATAACATGCATGTCTCAACCCTGTGGATTGAAAATATTTCTCACACGCATAAAGGAAAATTTCAGTTTGTACCCAAAATAGACCAGTGAACGTTGCCAAATGTCATGTTTGAGCCCTATTAAGGTGGTTGAACACACTTTAGGCAGTTTGTGAGTATATGTCATTTGCCAAATCATGGCAAGAAAAAGGTTGCAGCTCACAAGCTGAAACTTGGCGAGTGAAAAATATGCTGATGAAAGATTTTGATTGATAGGTAAAATTTGACATTTTTGCAGTTTCCATGGCAACATGAACAACTGAATACAACCTTATATTTTCACTTTTGCTCAGTTTACATAAAATTCGTTCATTAGATTTTCCTAGTAACTTGCACACAGCTTATTATAATTAATCATTACCATTTGAAACTTATTGACCTTATTTGACCAAATTTTAACGGATGGGTTTTTAGATAATCAGTAATGTAATAATTGTACTGTAATTATTAAATGTGTCACAAAATTTGTCTGATCAACTTGCTTTTTTAAGTTCGCATTATTTAAAATACGATAAAACTAAAACTTCTGCCAAATATCACAAAATTTCAATGAGTAGATTTTGAGAAATCATCTTCTGTGTATCATTGCTTTTTCGCCGCCATGTTTGTATGTTTAATTTAAAACACTCGCTGTCATGCGAGTTGCTGCTGAACACCCACAAAACTGTGTTCAGCCACCTTAAATAACAAGCTAAAAGGCTGTGTTTCAGTTTGAGGGACTAGACTTCCTAGACTTGAATTCACTCTGTATCAAATATAACCATTTTTTTTAGCAACCCAGGCTAGATCTTGTGAGAACTGAATCTTGAGGCATATTCCCCAAGAAAGCAATATGGCAAAAAAAAAAATTTGGAGAAGTCTCAAAAATTAGCAGTAACTGTGTAGAATTAACTAACGCAGTTTACGACAACATGGTTCTTTTTTTTTTAGGTGTCATTTTAAGACAAATCAGCTGAATCTCGAGAGTTTCAACCTGATGAGCTCAGTACTTCAGAGGCATACAATCATGCAAGCTTTTCATTCAAGTGTGATGAAGACAATAGGGCCATCTATATGAGGAAAAAATAAGATGCATTTTAAATTAGATGTAAACTTTTTGTAAATGTGGCACAAAAATGTAGCCTGAAATTCATCCGATTGCTTTGAGTCATTTTCTCCTCTCTGAGGGAGTAATAACGACCTGAAGTAATTGGATGAAATTCAGGCTAACAAAAATGTTTTTGAGTCTTAAAACTAGGATGCAGCTGATATGCTTGTATATTATTATGGTACAGTTCGCATCTCCTTTAAGATGCACCTTGTGTAAGAAATGTCATATTTTTGCTTGTATAAATAGCCTTAATAATTGCCAAAACCTTGGACTTGGCAGTGTTTGATAATGGAACAGTGATCACCGTAGGCCTTGAGGAATGGTCAGCTTATGTTAGGATTGTGTCACTACATGTAGCTGATTGGTTCCTCAAGTATAAGCTGAAGAAAAAAGTTATAAGACCTACTAAAGCCCTCTGGAATGAGGCTGGTGCGCCTGATATCCTAGGGCCTTTCCATTTGTCAGAATTCCCCATCATAATGAGAATTTCACTTTTAATCAAAACTATCCAGCCAGATCAGTCAAATCCTAAATAGTATGTGTGCATGAAAGAGATGGTTTTTTTTTTAGCAAAAACTCTTGGAAAAAGGCAGTATTTCATTGCCAAAATGACTGGTTCTGGCCAGTTGTGACTTTTGGAAACCTCCCTGAGTAGGCCCACACTTACATGAAGAGATCTGAATCCACCACAGCGAGGGTTTCATTGAAATTATTTTATTTCCAGAGCAGGTGTTAAAGCAAGGCTCTAAAGTAAGAATTTGATTCCTTGGAATCTTTACTTACATGTATGGTCAACAATAGTAAACTGTAGAATGTGTCAGTTTTCTGAGGGTTTGAAATATGAATGACACTGTTGTTAAATATCACTTTTTTGCTTTGCTGACCATATTTAATGTACATTTTTTTACAACCTTTGTTCTCAACATGTAACTGGCCTCTAAAATAATAAAATTTAAACTTTGAAAAAGACTTTGGTCTACAATGAGTATGATTTGTTATTCAAGTCTTTCATCCCCTTCCTCAATATCCTTTAAACTGATCATTTCCAATGTTCCTCTTCCACGTGTTTCAGCTCTAAGTGTTTCATCAATGACTCTGTAGCAACCTGGATCAATGAGACAAACCTAGAGAGAAATCCGACAACAACAAATTTTAGGTGTGGGAAAAATGTTTAACCATACAAATCAGGGCTTGAAATATAAAATATAGAAAAATATGGAAGAAATGGTACAAATTAATACAAGAAATTATATGTGAGTATAAATATTAAAATAACAATACAACATTACGATTTTTTTTTTGTTTGGTGGGAACTAATTTTCGCAATCAGACCAGAGTGAATAATGAACTGCCAATTCTGTGCACGAGCTTTTCAACAATATAAAATGCAAATTCACAGCAAATTTGCATCTGCACAGTACTGCTAACAGCAGCAAAAATGATACAATTCCTGTAAAATATTGGGTTTAGAAACCCACTTCCCATTTGTTTGAGGATTTATATACTTATGATAAGCTCCATTCTGTGATAATTTGTCTAATTCCATAATCTGGGGGGACTGACACAATCACTGTTACATAGGTAAAATCTGATACTAGGTTGATCCAGAATTTCCTTAATTATCTTCTTTGAATTGTAAAATATAAAATTAGATTGAATACTGGATGATTCTACATGCAGCATTACTACCTAGCAAGAGTGAGGTAACAGGTAAAGGCGCACACAAGCCAATGGCCCGAACAGCCGGAGCTTATACCGGTTTCTGTAGCCTGAAGCATGCCTAGGAGTATTGCTACTCCCCCCTGGATGGGATGCTAGTCCATCGCAGGGTTACCCCCCAGCAGTATGTCATACCCATTTATACACCTGGGCAAAGAGAGACAAAGTGGAGTAAAGTTTCTTGTCTAAGGAAACAACGCGACAGGCGACGCTTGAACCCTAGACCTCCAGATCCAGAGTTCGAGGTGTTAAGACAGATTCCACCAGGAAATTGAGTTATTTTAATTTTCAGTGGACAAAAACCTTGTACCAGAATAATTTAAAGCACATTGCATTCTTTTTTACATTTTTCAAGGGCTAAAGATGTACCGGTAATTATTAGTAATCTGTAATATTAACACCTTATGGGAGCCCAAGAAAATGAATGTCAAGTTTCACAAAATTACATCTTTCACATGAGATTTTCAGAATTTTACCAGTGTTTTCACAATTCTTGTGAAATTTGACATTCATTTTCTCGCACTCCCATGGGAAATTTTCTTTGGTGTTATTACATCTTTAGGCCTTGAAAAATGTAACAAAGAATGCAATATTCTTTAAATTATTCTGGTACAAGGTTTTTGTCCACTGAGAATTAAAAGAACTCAATTTCCTGGTGGATTCTGTCTTAACTGTTCGCGACACATGCCTCCAAAAGAGTGAGTCTATACATCAAAGAATGCTATGGTGTTTTTCAAATAGCCAACAAAAATGGGACAGAGAGGAATCTTAGGGCATTGGCTGGGATATGTGAGTTTCACTTATTAAGTTACTTTTAGAGGTTGTAAAGGGACGTCTAATTCCTGGGATGTCTACAAATTTTCATTGATTGTTTGAAATGTCATCAAGTCCTTGTATGCCTGCTTCATAGCAAAAATTGCAGAACATCTGTAATGGCAACAGTTGACTTCTCTCTTGACAACGCTGAATAAAAGTTTATGGACTGCTTCCTTCCTTCCTTCCTTCCTTCCAACTTTCCATTAATTCAAGCATTTAACTGGTCTAAAAATAACTTTGGTGAAATTCCCATATCCCAAGGGCTAGACTGGGCATTTTCCCTGTCCGTCCCATTATTTTCTCTTGAAGTGGCCTACTGCTTTAAGAATGAAAGCTTCATTATTCTAACCTCATGAACCAATTATTGTTCTTACCATTTCTAAATCCCCTCCTTGCCAATCTTCTGATTCAATTACTGATATGTTAGGTTTGAGTTTTTCCTGAATTCGCTTGGCTTCTTTGCTGGGTACAAATAGGCGCAGGCGCATCTGAGCACGTTCTATTTCCATAGTCTCTTTCAACTGCTTTATAACTTCAAGAGCCTGAAAAATTTGAGATAAAGGGGCTTGAATTAACTTAGAGTCAACGTGTGACACTGAGCTTGAGAGGGCGGGGGGAGGGGGGAGGGAGGTGTACATCTTTACACAGTGTATATACTATATAGGTATGTGTTGCACCACAGGGTTTGCTCTTCAGAGCCAAGGTCTGAAACTGGGTATTTTTCTTTCCTCTTGATAATTAAATTTCAGGTTTAAGATGGAGTAAGGAGAATAACACATTTTGGTCTGAAATAGGTTAAGATTTTTCAGGAAGTACCTCCTGCCAAATGGAATTTGATATCAAAACTTTAGTGCAAAACTATAGTTACACCATCAAAAGTATCGAAAGACCTTACAAAGAGTTCATCCTATTCCCAGAAGTTCTTTAAAAGCCCTGGAATTTAATTCTTTTAGAGCCCTTAAAAAGAAGAATTTCCATTGAAAGTTCTTGGAAACTCCTTGAATTTTTTGTTTGGATGGGAAATCATGTAATAAAACAATAATTATTATTATATGATAGGATGAAACACTGAGAAGAGAGTTGAAAATACAACGCACAGCCGAGTATTTTTGATGAACTCCGAGGCATTCATCTGTTGATGAAACACTGTGTCGAATGCTTGATATTACTTTTCAAACAAAATGATTTTAAAAGAAGAAATTAAGGATGCAAAAATGAGCAGTTTTTCATCTGATTTCCAAACACTCTTTCCTTTGTATTTTCTCCATGAATAGGCCATTTTACAGTTGTGTATGGAAGCGAGGCTGAGGGTGACCTTGTTTTGATACAAACCCTCATGCTTTATTATGTACATCAAGTTATTCTTATGCTAACCAGTATTTTTCAAGAACAACTTCCATAACAAAGCAAAGAAGGTTTGTATCAAAACAAGGTCACCCTCAGCCTCGCTTCCATCCATAACTGTAAAATGGCCTATTATTGAGTTTGAGAAATACATGTAATACTGTTCTAAAAAAAAAAGCCATTCAAAGATTGGTCACTGAATTGTCCTTAAAAACTGGTGCTTTTGTACTCCATGAATTTACTCCTTGAATTTAAGAACCAAAAACCAGAACAAACCATGTTTACCTGTTGTTTTGTTGTTCTTGTTGGTATAACTGAATAATGTATATCCTTCATTGCCCTCTCTATTATCCCTACAGGATAGGGTCTTTTGGATTCTGGGTTGACACATTTGTCAGCCACTATTGTAGCAATGTCTCTGAACATTGATTCAAGCTGCGTGCTTCTTTCCTTTTCTGATACTTGAAGCTCTCCCTTTGCTAGGATCTTTAAAGACACAAAACCAACCATCAATAATAATAGAGAGATTTAGAGTCATGTCTGTGGCAAAAGGCAAATGCAAGTTTTTATCGCGTGACAATATTTTCCCTTTACTTGTCACTTACTAATCATTAAAACTACAGGGAAATCAGTAGATTTACCCCAGTCTTATCCATAAGAATTGCATTAAGCTGTTTTTATCGGCTCATTTCAATTTTGAGAATTTGCCAACTCGAATTTCACATTTGCCTTTTGCCATAAAAAATTAACATACCTCTAAATCTCTCAAATATTTTTCCATAAAAGAAAAAGTAAACCCCTTATACCCTTATATCAACACCCACATTCTTCATACTGTTTTCATTACATTTCTTAGCCTAGCTGACAGTTTCTAACCATGCAATGAAGCAGCCATAGTGGTGGACAAAACAATGAAACAAGAGTTCAGTTCCTGGCCAAGGAAAATGCTTTTGTTCATGTCCACCCACTTGGCTGCCACGACATCAGCTGAAAACCAGCAAGAAGGAGAAATTGTTGAACAACCAAGTTTCATTGTATTTTTATCTTAAGTAACAACTGAGCAAGCCTGCATAGCAGCCATAATCTAACTGCAGTTAGTAACATCTGTGAAGTAGTGCTGATATCCTTGTTCTGGGCCCCCAATGGACTCAACAAATTATCTCAAATATGTTTCAAGTTTCCCTCAAACTTGATTGGCAAATTGACGATCGAATTTTTAACAGACCAATCATGAAGCATATATACCTGCCAAGTGTCAAGCCTAAGGCATTATTGTCATGCCTGTGGATCGAAAACTTGGATCTTATGCCTACTTACGCCTGTGTTACGATATGTCACGCCAGGTGGAAAAGTTTGAGCCATTACAGCATTAACTGATACATTTTGAAAAATATATTAGTTACTTAAAGAAATCAGAACCAAAGAGAGAAAAGAAAAGTCTATGTGGATGATTGACTTTCTGCCAATTCTCTTTTTTTAGTAGGGAAGTCAATGTTCCTTTGTGTTCCCGTGTTCATGTTGGACAGAACTCTTTGTAACGTCTTTGGAAGTCTTCGAAATGTCTTTGGACATCTTCAGATATTATCAGACCCTACGAAAAATCTTGGCACTCTTAAGATAAAAAATGTCACGCCTATAAATGTAAAAAAGTTGGCAGGTATACGCGTACTCAAATCCTGGTACACAGGTGGGGTCCCAGAACAATGATTTCAGCGCTGTTTCGCAGATGGATTTAACTAGAAGTTTAGTTCTGTCTGTGGCGAGGCTACCAACTCAGCAGACACCTATTAAAACCTCCCTTATTAGTTGAATACATGAAAATACTGTTTTTACATCTCCTGCTGAAGACATGACTGTGATTTCTATGTGGTCATCCACACCACACAACAATGTAACCATTTGCAGGGTAAAAGCAGTACCTTTTTCCTCGGTTAGATTTTAAGGCCCTGATCAGTGTCAATAATTGGTCCAGCCCTGATCATCAAAACCTTCAACCTCCAGGGCCATATTGTAACATGTAAAAGAGAAGTTGCTTGGTGGTTCAAACTACCAAGCCACCGCGCCACTTGAATGATAATGTTGTTTTATTTCACTAGTGAGCAGCTGAGCCGCTCCAATAAATGTACATAGAAAATTGGCCCTGTACTCAGTTGTTATGCCCAGAAATGCTTTCTGGGCTGAAGTGCAAGATAAAGGATTAAAGTTTGCTAGCATGTACATTTATGCACCTATCATTGTTAAGCCCCAGGGTGGGGGCAAGCCACCCACGGGAAATTGACTGAGAGAGCCTTTCCCTGGGTGGCGATTTTGACATTTATGCGTTGCCCCAGGGCCCCAGGGTCGGGTATTTGGCATGGCCGCCATCTTGGAAGACCGAGAGAAACTGGAAATGAGTGACCTGCCATATTACTAATACCCAGAAGTCACCAGAGGTGAAAAGACCTCTGCTTTTCTTCAAAGCATCAACACAACATGAGCGAAAGAAAGGTAAGGAAATCTGTTTTATTTTTTGGTTTATATGAACCAACATTTCTTTCATCATATGAACAAATGTTTACAAATAGAAGAGCCTTCGTTCCCTCTGTTTCTCTAAGTTGGATTACTTTTTGTGCATGTTTTCATATTCATGAATGTTCTTGATTGCATTCAAAAGCTAATTATTATGCATGTTTTCTTTGCTCTGTTTGAGGATCTTGATAATGCCCAAGAACAAGTCCTGTGGATATAGTATGACTCATGTGACATGTAGTATCACCAAGTTAAGTTTGTGTTAGAACATCTTGGCCACCATTATTATGCCTTGCAGAGGATGACATTTTCTGGCACTGCTTCTCTTGTGTTGCAGTAAACACTATGTGAGGTTGGAAAAGATATATCCTTTCCACCCTGTCAATTATTAAGTCCTGACTCTGATAGAAAAAGTTACCCCAGGGGTGGGAAATTGACATTCAGTAGGTGCCTGGGGATGGGGAATTTGACTCTGGCTTCGATGAAAATGTTGAATTCCCCTGGATCTACCCCCACCCACCTTGGGGCCTAACATTGATAGGTGCATTATTGCTGAAATTATATAAAAGGAGAGGCATCAAGAAACTTGGATCAGATCAACCACTTCAACTCATAATAACTAAATGACCAAAGGTCAAAGATATGGTTGCAGCTAATAAAGGGTTAATCTGGTCTAATGTGATCCAGGTTTTGTAAACAGCTTTTTAAAGTACCTGTAAACAAATCTCTGATTGATCAGTTGTTCCAAATGCCCTAGTTAAATCCTCATTTTTAGCCATCTGCCCCTTTGAAACATTTGTGAAAACTGTGTGCGTTTGAAGAACTTCGTCAATGTCTTTCTCGCTGTCAAAGAATTGAATATAGCTGAAAAGTTACAAACTGGGCCAGGTTGTTCGAAGCTGGGTTAAGATAACACAGGGTTAGCGCGAAATTTGAACTCAAATATGAGAGCTTAAAAAACAAATTCAGCTTAATTCTCTTTGAATACAATTTGATGATTGGATACTCTAAAAAGAATAGAGAAAATTATCTGAGAAAGTGCTTTTGATAACAAGAAAAAGAAACCTGGGTTAAAATTTAACCCCAGGTTAGCGCTAACCAGCGTTCGAACAACTGGGCCCTGATCAATAAAATCCACTAGTAATATCTGTATATTTTCCTTTAAATTCTGTTTAATTGCAATGTCAGGAAAAAAATACCAGACTGAAGACTGAAGCAGCTACTCACACTTTGTTCCGCCAAGACATCACTTTGTTTTTATAGCAAGCGATTTCAAAGCGCTTCCCAGCCTTCTTCAATCTCACCACTGCGACATTTGTTAGTTTTACTTGATTTGTTGGAGTAAAAATCGACATCTTAGTTGTAAATAAACGACTAGGCGAACGGGTAGTACGTGGTGGAAGAACTGTTGTGTTGGAAAAGAGGACAAACACAATCCTCACTTCAGTAGGGGTAGGTAAGGTTATTTGTCACTTAGTTTACTTACTTATAATTTTTTTCCCTCATTAAAAAAAATTATATATCGAATCTATATAATAAATATAGGAAAGAAGAAAAGCTGACAGTTTGCATTTTCCACGAATGATTTTGTCATTCCCGGTTAAAAATCTTTTGGTCTCACCCTAGTCTAGTCAGGCTACATATTGCCTTGTAACCAGGCATTTTCGATATCAAACTTAAAAGTTTGATATCGAGGCCCTTACTTACGTAACGTGCATGTAACGCCATCTTACTGCTTACTGTTCTGGACACAAAATCGACCAAACGATTTGTTTTCATTAATAATTGCGGTCCTCCGAGTGTGGGAAAGGAAATACACATTGCCTCCTACTCACTTAATAGACTGCAGCCCCTCTGGTATAGCCAATCTTTTGCACGGTTTGAAAACTCGTACTAACAGGTCGTGCGAATTGCGATCGGTCTCTGCACCCCTGTAATGAAGCTTTTACATGGACATACGAATTTACTGGAAATTTGATCTCAGTTTGGGAAAAACATTTTTTGTTATTGCCACTTGGCTATGACAGGAAGTACCTCTATAGTTTGACAAGAGGTTGACCCTTCGTGTGCTTTTTAATTCACATCCGATCGCGCGTCTTTTGAAACCCATAGAACCGCAGGAAGCGGTCTCAACAACAGAGAAGTATTTCCAACAAGAAACGCATCGATTTTGACGTCTCTTGTTGTGTTTGAACAATATGATGAACGGAATATTGAGCCATTCTTCTGAACTTCATATTCTGGAGCACAAACTACGAGTTTCCAACTTGAAGAAGGATGCGATCTCTCTGTATACACATGCTCTTATAAAAATTTCATTACTACCTCGATCAAAGTATGTATGGGCGTTCTGTGGCTTTATTATTTTTTTGTAAGCTTATTTCTCTTTTCAGCTCTTCAGTGGAAAAAGTTTGAACTTAATACATGTGTACTCTAGGAGACATGCAATATTTTAGATTACAATATTCATTAAATTCGCATGTAAACTATGGTCTGGATGCGACGAGTGGCTACCATTGCAGCCCATAGAGAAGGTTCTCTTTCTTTTCCCGTGCTTCTTCTTCTTTCTGAAATCTGTCATATGTTTGTTAATTCTGTATTTTTCTTACAGGCCAAGGTTCTTCAGCTTTACAGAAACCAGAGATGGCTATACAATCATCGTCGAAGACGAACTTTGTAAAGGTAATTCAATTGTGCCGTGTAAACTTTTATGTCTATATTCATGAAGCGTGCCAAGATAACGTGGATTGTTTTGCGCGGGAAAAGCGAGATTGCATATTGGAAAGGACTTTTCGAAAACTGTATTTACGAACTACCTGTAATTGTTGCAGATATTTGTTTCCGAGAAGCAAAGTATGTTGTACGGTATGTTATGTAATACAGTAAGGATCTTTATCCCTTTATTATACTGTTACATGTTCGCGTGAGATTCTCATATTGATATTGTATTGGAACAGATGATCACTTTGATGAAAAGGATAAAAAAAGAAGTTTCACTCCAGCCTAACAGACCATAAACTTTAACTTCCCGTCTTAAGATAACTCACTGGGCAGAGGAGTTCACGTGAAACCTCTGGGCAGAGAGGTTTCGTCGGACTCTGCTCTCATTTTATTTTCTTGTGACAGGAAATGGCATCGGAGGTCCCTTCCTCGATGTAAACAAACTCCCTCTCACATTACACAATCTGATGAATTCCCGGCCATCATCATAAATTTTAGTAGCTGAAAGCGATTTTTAGTGTTATATGTTAATGGTTGTAACCAGTGGTCTTTTCTGAAAATTATGGCAAAACATTTTTTTAATAATAGTAAAATCTTAGACCACTTGCTATTTATTTATATAGGAAGGATAAAACACATTTCCAAAATTGATTTCACTGTACCAAAATCCTTCAGTGGTATGAATTTCAGTAACCTATTGAGGCCGTGTCTAGATTTTGTGTTTTGTTGGAAACTGTACTAAAGCACCTTTGTTAAGGCTTGCTGCAGAGGATTATTTTTTCTTGTTGATTTTTTTAATTAAAAATCATTCAAGGTGCTCTGTTCAATTTTCATTTTTTAAAGTGTTAGTTTTTTTTAATCCAAAAAATAACATACATGTATATTGTTTTCTTGCATTATATATTAAACTACGTAAAAATACAATTTTAATTATTATTTGACCATGTGAATGGAATCTCTCTCGTGATACTTGTAAATGGTGCCCATTATTTTTCAGATGATTATGATATCAAATGTATATTTTTGTTTCTTTGTGCTGTAAGCCTTCAGTTATTTATTATACAAACTGGTTGTCAAAAATTACTTATCTTTTATCTCACCCACATAGGTTTACTGGGGTAATAAAAATTGTTATAAGTAAACAGGGAACATAATGTATGGGTTGGCAGATCTCTTACCTTCTACTCAATATTTATTTCATAAAAGTATTCACAGCAAGAGATTGTGAAATTTACTTGAACACCAGGAATGGAAATTTATATCGTTAGTACAAGCACTGCCTTGAGTTATTTTGTTTACTGTATAAACAAAACGTGTTTAATTTTAAGTTTTAAACAATTTGCTTAAGATTCTCCCTTTCCTCCAAAGCTTTTAAAAATTCACTGAGGGTCGTAAAAACAATATTTTTTTTCTGGTCTTTCCTGAAAATTTCCTTTTATAGGGCTGTAGGATACCAAAATCATCAAAAAATTATGTAGTAAGATCCAAAGCCATTTTTATTATTCTATTTTGGTTGCTGAATGCAACAGTAGCTAACATAAATTTCCATCAATATCTTCACTCTTAGTAGTAAAGAAAAATGTTCTCAAAAATTAGTCTCAGTAATGTTAGTGGTTAGGTCAACCCCGTGATGTTCAAATAAAGTTTGGCCCAAGAAAACTTTTATATCTGAAGGAGGGCTTACAAGTATGCTTTCTTTAATAATATCACTTTATCTGACAATTTCTTTCACAGAGCTCCCCAAAAGCGATAGTATTGACATGCCTGATCTTGTTTGGCGAGTTTTAACTGTTTCTGCTGGTGCTTATGGAAGCCATCAGCTGACTGGAATCAGTAAAATTGTCAAGACTATTATCACTCCTTTGGCAGACTTCCAAGTTTCTGTTCTGGTCATCTCAACATATCAGTCTGATTATGTTCTGGTAGGTTTGGAACTACTTGGTAGTTTAGTATCGGTAATAAAGTCAAACCCTGCTTTACGGATACCTCATCATTACAGGCAGTTTGTCCCTGGGCAAAGAAAGCCCTTATATTTCTCTAAATTATAACTGCTTTATACGGACTCCCCAGTTACACAGCTATTTCAAGAAAGGTTGTTGGAAAAAATGTGCGCGTGACAATCCCAAAAGGTAATATGGGATATGATCAACACGCTGTTCCTGACACTTAAACTGTTGAATCTTCTGTTGTTGTTTTCCTTTAGCATTTGCAATTCAAACATACATCTATGGCCTCTCGTGCCATTCTTTCAAATTTCTTTGAAGAACAGTGAACTCAAAACAGCCCCCGGGATTGTCGGGTGCACTTTTCCCGACAACCTTTCTCGAAATAGCTGTATGGACACTTTCTATGGCCCCTTAGTGTCAGTATTAATGAGTTTTGACTGTAGTTAAGATGCTTGATTACTGTTTCTTGATCCTCTCATGTTACATGTTGGTTTGTTTGTGTTTTGTGCCCACTTAGTTTGGAAATATTGCAGGGTTTTACATAAGGCTCCACTCTCTCTGTAAGTTTTTCTCCTATGCTCATCCTGTTTTGATGCAGCTAAATGCAATTTAGGATAAGTTAAACTCGACACATGGCTGGCTTGAAGTCTCTTGACAGAAATATGTGCAGGTTCTCTTACTCACTTTGCAGGGGTTTGTGTGTACTTTTAGAGCTATTCTCTTGAGGTCAGGCCATCACGTTCGCATGTCAGTGCTTGTTGTGGCTCATGCTTGCAAAGTGTTTGTTAGGTTCCTCTGGTTAGCAGTGTGATGGTACCTGAGTGGATGCCACTCTCAGGGTTGTGAAGGTTACACATTACACTCAGCTAAAGTTCGGGTCTCCAGCAGCCTCACAGGCACCTCCCCCCATGCTCATCTCTGTTGATGAGTTTAATTGGCATGTTTTGTCTTTGCTCAAGGTTAAAGAAGTTGATCTTGACACTGCCATCAAGTGTCTTTCTCAAAACTACAAGATCTTTAAAGACAGTGGTAGAGGATTGGAACCAGTGACCTTGTCAATTGCTGATATGGCTGAAATGATGAATCACAGAAAAGCAGGTAAATTATTCAAATAAAACAGAGTATGATAGCAAATATGGTTATAGTCCAGGGCTGTCAAAAAGTTTTCAAGTAGGATTAGCTATAATGAATAGTAGGTGGCTTTGGAACGCGCACTAAAGGTGCAAGTTCTTGAGGGCCGATTGAGGCATCTAAGCACATTTTGAGATTTAAGACTGTTGGAAATGGTATTTCCAGGGTTTTCAAGAGCTATTTTCCACCACAGACACCATGTTTTTTCGTCAGAATACACTCAGGACTGGGAACAATGCTGTCTAAATGTCCAGGTGTTCCATGACATCACACAGTTTGAACATTTCACTGATCTAAACCTTTTTAAATATTCATTCAAGGTCATCCAAAACTGGGAAATGGATGTGTTATTGATGGAGCTTATTTTTTGTTAGCAGTTATGGCAAAAGGAGATGAAAGTAGCCTGCGTAGCTGGCGGTATTGTGTAGTAGTCGAGTGAGATTTGACGGCGGAGCTGTCACGAGCGGGGAAGCCGCGAGAAATACCGCCTGCTAGAGAACCATGATTTTTCAAATGCCGCCCACTTTTGTCAAGTTAGCTGATCCCAATTTTAAAATCAGCCAATCAAAGAGAAACCAGTTTAGAAATAAGCGTTGACAGGCTAAACACGACTCCTAAGCTCATGACAATGTGAAACGTGACCTTGTGAGTTTGCTTGAACAGAGGTTTTTTTTATTTTCTCGGCTCTCGTTCGAAGGTTACTATAGCAGTACACAGTGCATGTATCATTCTAAACTTTGACTGAGTAAATTTTTTTTTGCAACACTAGGCTTAAAATTAAAAGGTCATGAAGCTGGTTTGTTACATGCATACTGAGTAACCATTTCCGGTGGTTTATTCTTCTGTAGGTGTTCCTGATAGGATTTGATCTCAGATGCAGTTGTAACATGTTTTAATTTTCTTTGACCTTTGTTTCTTACGGCTAAATTAAGACAATTCCAGTGCTGTGAAGTTTAAAGACGCCATTTCGGCAATTTGGTTATCAATTATGCTCTTTCTAAAGCCGAAATCACAATCACTTTTAATACATGTACGTCTTCTCCAGTTTGCCATCTGCTCCCTAAATTGGGAAATATACGCAAAGGCTCATCTAACATGATTGACATATGTATGGCCCTCGACCAATCCGTTTCCCCGCACACTGGTGTGCGGACCATTCAAAATACCGGGGTTTTCTGGCAGGCGGTATTTCAACCGCCTCGTCCCTACTCCTTTTTTTTCGAACACGGCTCCGCCGCCAAAACTTTAATCTCGCACCCACACAATACCGCCAGCTACGCAGGCTAAGATGAAAGTAGCCAGCTAAGGATGGCTAACTAGCTAGCGGTGGTTTTGGCCGGCTATCGGCCCTTATTGACAGCCCTGTAGTCTGGACCAATTTGTTGAAATCCTGGTTAGCTCTTATCCTGGCCAGGTTAACTTACTTGAAATCAGAGCATATCAAAAGTTTTCATGGAAACTAGCCCTATAGATAATTTGAAATAACTGACCTTTGAACAGTGACCTTGGTCTTAGTTATTTACGATTTGGACAAAATATTATCCGGTGAATAAGTCATGACACAGTAGTAGTACAGGGAAACCGATACTACTTTATGTACTGGCAAGTGATTTATATTCCATTGGATTCTCTAAACAGCTGGGGCCTGGATTATACATTACATGTATACAGCTATTTCGAGAAACGTCGGAAAAAGTGGACGTGACAATCCTGAAAGGTATTGTGGGTGGTTTTGTCTGCCCTGTTCTCCAAAGAATGTAAAGAAAGGCACGAGTGGCCATGGACGTATGCTCACGAGTGCTAATGAAAAGCAACAAAAGTAGGTTTGACAACTACAGTTGGTAGGAACAGTATATTGATTATATCCCAAATTACCTTTCGGGGTTGTCGCGTGCACATTTTTTCCAACAACCTTTCTCGAAATAGCTGTATGTATGTATGCTGTTAAGCATTTATAATATTGATTTCTTCAATTAATTTTCAGATGAACACAGACCAATTGTTCACCCGTTCTCTTGCCCACTGAACAGATTTCATGTAACGAGTCTAGAATTACGAATGTTACCGAGCTTGACGTCCACTTTACTTGATCTGATGTTCTATTCAAAGTAAGTTTGGAAATTTTCGTCTGCTGGTATTTTCATTTATAATCATGATAAGTTTCACAAGGTGTTGGGAGTGAGGACTGGGTACAACACAATGCAGATTTTATGAACACCTTTTAAAATGTGATTAATAAATGGTGTGGGATGGGGGATATTAGAGTTTCAGTTCTTTTGGTCTTAGGGTGATAAGGTTACCCCACAAGTGAAATTTTGCTTGTAAACCTGAGCTATCTTTAACTTGCATGCCAAGGTATCCCTATCGTAAGGGTTTCCCTCCCTCCTTGTAAACAAGACCTGACATATGATTGTGGAAAGGTACCTCACAGCTCCCTACGTATCACTAACAACAATATTATTCGATTGACTTCTAGGTCACCAGTTGACAGGGGCTATGAGCCATTTTTTCATATTTCCATTGTTGAAGGGGACATTTCATTGGTGTTGGACAATGAAGCCTTGTCAAGGTATAAAATTTTTGCCACCAATATACATGCTGACATTAATAATAATAACTTACAGTGCCTCACATAGTTCAGAGTATTTCTTATTAAAATTGAAGTATGCTAAAGAGAGTGTGGGGCCCCACTGAAAAAACATGTCAGTGATGTGGGCAAAAAAAGTATTATTATGTTCACTCATTTTTGTTTGTTGCCTATTTGGCAGATTTCCTGAAGGCTCACTTTACACTAACACTAATGATGAAGGATGGAAAATGATTCGTGTTGGAGATACTCCGCTGGGGTTTGGTGTGTTCTCATTAAATATTTCAGTTCTGTGGATTGTACTTAATGATTGATCAGTAGCAGGTTATGTCATTGAACTCATTGTCATTATCTTCATCACTGTTATTGTCATCATTATCATAGTTATCATCGTTATTGTCATGACTATGGTAGACTACGAGCAGTCTCTCTTTTTCTGTAGTCTGTTGAGCAAAACGGGACACACGCAAATGGCCACGCATGTGACTGATGGCACGAGATAGGAGAGGCACGAAAAAAGAAACTATGGTCATTTTTGTTATCATTGTTCTATTCATCCTCATTATCATTACAATCATCAAAGCAACTTGTCATTGTTATAATCTGTCATCTTCATCGTTACCATCACTAATATTAACAGTAAGTCATAAGCTGCAGTAAGGATACTTCTGTTCTTATATTGTAACAGTACTGCAGGTGCGCCACTGTGGTACCAGCAGCTTTAATATGGCATGTAGGTGGGCAGCATATGAAACCAGATTTTGAAATAAGTTGTTTAGTCTTACATATTTTAAAGAGTATGGTGGCATTACATGTTCTGTGTTAAGTATAGATGGCTGGCTGCTCAGTGTGCTTGTATCACTCTCTGCTTGTCATGTGTTGTGTAGATGAAACTGGTGTAGCTGCGCAGATTGCTGAACCCTTAGCAGATGTTCAAATGACCACTTATTACATCAGTACGTATGGCCTTGGTCATACGCTGGTATGTATTGCCCTGTCAGAAAGTGCTGTGGAAAGTCAACCTTAGATACCTTATCTGCATTAATTTTGGTAGCTGTTATTTTGGCTGGCATTCCTAGTCAACATTCCTTTTGCCAGAGAATGTCCAGAAAGCAACTTGTGAAACTCTTTTCTGGTGAGGGTAAAGTTTTCAATATATATGTCGTGCAAAGTTGGAAATGAATTGAGGGTGACGAATTTGTAACCAGTAAATAACTTTCTTTGCCTCCAATTATGTATTTAAAGGTATCGTCAGAGGATGTTTTTCCACAGACACCATTTAATGCCATAATTAACATCTAGCTATTTGTATGTTGTTTGTAGAGGAGAGTGGGATAGTTGCCCAGGTATCTGAACCTCTTACTGACGCTTCCTGTAGCACTTTTTACATCTGCACTTTCCTTTTTGATCATCTCTTGGTATGTACATCCTATGGCAACCATGGATGCAGTCTTACAATACACTTTACTAATATTAATATTATTATATTAAGGATGCATGGGAAATAACTTAAATTTTTTTCATTTTTTCACTTTCAGTTATTTCTGTTTTGCAACTTATGTCATTTGATTGTTTTTTAACCAATTATAACATCACTATCTTAACCCTCAACTAATACACTGTTTACAGTTGTTGTGTGATATTTATTGTGATGCATTTATTTATGAGATAATGTAAAGGATTAATGCATGTATCGAGCAATTTTCATTTGTGATGACTGTTCAGTGTTTTGCCTTTTCAAAATCTCCTCCAGTCAGAGATTATAGTACCATGTAAGCCAAGAAAATATGGTGGGCATAATGGATGTTTCTCTTTTCATGATTTCTTACTTGTGTTTGCTATATTCCAAGTTATTTGCCAGTCATCGGTAACCTGTTGGTGATCTGTTGGTTAACTGTTGACTAACAGTTAGTTGGTAGTTTTTTTGTGAGTGGTGGGTAGCTGGAGCTGTTTTCCTCTTTATTGATATTACCATATGAAGGAAACCATTGGTGCCCATGACTGGAGCTTCATACCAGGGGGAAAAACATATTTTAAAAATATCAAAGAATGAAATTGGTGATCACATACTTCTACTTGAGCTCAAACACATAAAGCTCATTTGACCCTTCACAACCTTGCTTGCATCTAACTTCCTACTTCCTTCAACTAAATGAGCGATACCTTGAATTCATAATACTCTATAAAAGGGTTGTATCAAACAAAATTTTTGCATAATCTTTTGGTAAATACTGGTAGTTAGGAGCCGATTTCAATGTTCCCTCTCCCCCCTTTCAAAAGCCAAATCCCAGGAATACAGTGTACAATGAAGATGTTGTACATGTAGTACTTGCTACCACTAGTGGGGATTAATCAATATTGGTGACTAGTGCTGATATCAGCTATTTCTTAGGCTAAGAAATAACTTTCTTTCACTCAAATTAACTAATTTAGAAATTAATATGTTTATGTTTTTCAAGTTGCCATCCTAGGGAAGTCCATATCTTGTTTGCAATTATTATTATATTCTTCATTTTAGGTACCTGAGAATGAAATTGAGAGGGCCAAAGAATTACTCAGTTCCTTACAAGTTAGAAATGGTCTGCAAGAAAACTCCTAGTTATTTACTAACATATTTTTTCACTTGTCCAGTAATCTCAAATTCATCATATTTTTTAAATTTACCTTATTTTTAATTTAAGAGTTTGTAAAATAGAATAAATACATCACTGAAAAATTAACTATTGAAACATATTACTCCCAGTATACACCACTACAGAGACATGTCGTGTAGTTTTCATTTTCATTTTCCCTTTGGTGTGGCCATTCAAGTAAAACCTCTTTGGTAGAGTACTCCATCTTTTTTTGTTGGTTTTAGAAATGGTCTGAAATGGTCTATTTTTTATTATCTTTGATGAGTTTCAAATATAATATTAAATGAAAAACAAATAAAAATCCAAAATGGTTTGAACAGGAGCCATAGATGCATTTGAAAGTTTGCATTTCATTTCAACTCCTTTGAAATCACATAACTCCACAGCTCCTCCAAAACCTGTTCACTTTTGGTCCATAGTAACCCAGCAAATTTCTCAAAATTTTGTCGAAAACATGTTGGAAAATCATCAAATAATTTTTTTAAAGTGGTTACGTAATGTTAACAGCAGGATCTATTCCGGTTGTCACTTAATACAGAAGTCACAATTAAAATTCTACCTGCACTCATCACTAAGGATGTCAATGGGGTTGTTTACCTATCTAATAAGGATTGTTTTGCATTTTAACAAACAAAACTTGAACTATTTTATAAAAGGATGTCGTTTTTTTGTGTTTACATTTTACAGAAGTCACACTTAGAACATTTTCTGGAAAATTGTTAATTTTTCTATGAAAATATGGTTGGCAAACCTCAGCCTCTTAGAATGTTGTTTTTGTTGTTATTTTTCTCTGACACCAGGTAGTTTGATAAACATGTTGCAGTATCTGCCTCTTGGTTCAATCTTTGTTTGTTTACAGTATTCTAGTAGCTAAGCCCCTTATTAATTAAGGAGTTGAGTTAATTTAATTTGAAATAATTAAGGAGAATAAAATAATATATTTTGCTGTATACTGACTTAGTGGGGCTGTCTAAACAGTTTACTGACTAGAGGTATACCCCATTGACACCCCCAAGACTGAGATTTAGAGTATGGCCTTTCAAATTGATTCAACAATCATAATGAGTGCATATGAACCTATAGTTTGTGTTGTACATAAGAATTATTTACCTACATTATTTACAGTTATGGTAAATTATTGGATCAATTGAGGCTTCTGGGTATCCGGCCACCTACCCCTCCCTTAAGTCAACGTACTTCTGACTTAGGGCAAAATTGTGACTTGAGGGAGGAGTTGGTGGTCAGTTACTCAGAAACCTCAATTTATCTAGAAAATTCAATATTATTAATTAAACATGAGTTCTTATTATACATTATTTACAACAGATTATTTTAAACATACTTTTTTAGCCTTGGAATAGTGCTTGGTATACCGGTAATAATTACATGAAGATTGAGATACTTACAGAATTAGAAAATATAATATTATTAGGATTCAGAAGGAAGGATAGGGGTTTGTTTAATGTGCGTTTCCAGAAAATATCCACTCTCAGCCGTTGCAGGGTCAACGGAAATTCTGAGCTGGACCAAAAGTTCTGGATGTCGTTGGGGGAATGGGGTCCCAACAACAAACTCTTAATGTGGGAATATGGATAGTTTCTGCAACAAGTTAATGCTATAATTAAAGGTTGAAAGGAGAGAAGACACTTCCAAGTTTTTAATGCGGACTTCGGGGTATCTGAATGTTATATGAAACACTGATATGTTTGATATGGCTTTCCAAACTGATGGTGATTACCTTTGTTGTGCCTTTGTAGGGTGAGATTGGCATGTTTTAAAAATGTTTTGAGTGTTAGAGATTATTGCTTTAATCATTTTGAAGCATAGTTTTCCATCAATACTCAGCAGAAATAATATTATAATTTTACAGACATTGTTTTAAACTACATTACTTTTTATCATATTTGTGCATCTGCACTCAACTGGATGGACCAAAGCTAGCACTGATATGGAGTGTCACTTAGATTTTTTAGACCCACATTTTGGTCTTAAGTTAAGGGGGTGTTGTCACAAAATTATTTACACAATTCACAGCCCTCTATTTTCTCATCTTTTTCATCCATCACTAGCCATAGTGGAAAACAAAAAAACGACGCATAATATCTTGAAAAAAGAATTACTGGATCCAAGTGCTAAGGGAAACATTGTGTTGCTTCGAAGGTGATTCACACTCATGTATGGTTCATTGGTTTGACCTTTTCCCCTTCCTCCCTCCACTGTCACAAGTTGGAAATCATGCTTTCATGATTGTGGTCATTAAACCCTCCCATGTCCGTTGATTTTTTATTGAGAATCAAGACAGGATGTGAAGAGTTTAAAATAATTATTCTAAGTTTGACTTTTTTGTTAATAAGGGATTTTACATGTAGACTAGAACATTGGAAGCAGTAACAATTTGTCTTAGTGCCAAGGTGCTCTGACAAGGTGTCCTGTTTCAAGATTATAATATTTTATTAATATTTTGGAGGCTTTATACATTGGTCTACATTATTTACATTAATTAATTTATTATAAGTAAGTTTGTGGTGACCTGTTATTTAATAAAGACATGAAAATGACTTATATGTTGTCGTTTTGTGTTTTTGCCTTATTAACAGGTTTTAAATTGGCAACAGAAAGCACCCTGTCCTCTCTTAAGCCTAACCTACAATCCACTTCCTTTCTGTTTTCTAATGTTTGCACTTCCATGCACATCCTAATTGCAGGATATCTTAACTGCTTTCCCCACTTGAAACACGACTTGCCTAGAAGATTAGTTATATTATTATACATTGAACTCACTACCTGTCTTCTCATTAGCTGAGAGCCTACAGTTAGTTTTGGAAATCAGCGTAACCTACAGATTAGTTAGTTATCTGCTAGCAGATTAGTGATTAATCTGTAGGTTGCATGTGCAATGCATGATTTCCAAGAACAATGTCAATTCGGTTCCTTGTGACGGTGTGTTTGTCATTATTTTCATCAGCTAAACAATGTACAATAAAACAATAAGATTCATTTTTTTGTTAGGCTCGATTTCCGCTGTCTCCCGGGTTGGATGAGTGCGGGCTCATTTTCCCAACAGCGGCTCGTAATCAAGCCTATTTTTTTGTGATATCCTGAATAATCAAGGTTGCGGCAAGTGTTATGAGCCTCGGCCTTTGGCTCAGCTGGTAACACTTACCTCGACCTTGATTATTCTGGATATCACAAAAAACCATCCATTAATTGGTTACAAGCAGAGCAAGGGGTGCAAGGAGTCTTATACAAAGCATAAGAGCCTTGAAGGACTTTGCAAAACTATATAGGGACTCAAACATAAAAATGAACACAAGCATAATCTTACATAAGCAGGCACAGAAGCATAAAGGTTTGGCACTACTATACTGGCACCAAAGAATAAAAACTGATGTGGCAGAAAAAGGTGGGATTGGTGACAAGTGCCTAGCCTGCAAAGCAGGTGTATTTTGGAGCGGGATCCATGAATTGTTTTCAGGAATGACGTTGTCCTGCCATCTTGGACGTTAATACTACCAGAGAGTTGGGACGAGTCAAAAAGTGATTTTAAGGGAGAGGTGCCCCTCCCCCTTAGTCTTTTTCGTTGCTTTTCAAGGTGGCGGCCACGATCAATGTACCTCCGAGTTTTCAATAAAAAATGCCTGCTCTGCAGGCTATAACAAGTGCCATATTTTTGTTGCTTTTGCTTGTGCCATGTCACATGTCCTCGATAGAATTAACACTGACATTATAAGCACAAGCACAAGAAGAACAGGTCCTGGTTGATCAAAGCTGGATACCACTACTCTAAGATAAAAAGCTATCCAGTAGATGATGTCATCGGTTTCCCAAATACTTATTGGCTGGATAGTGATTTATCAGGCTCCAGTTGTTCAAGAGCTGGATAACGCTATCCACTGGATAAATCTTTGTCCAGTGGATAATGGAGTTGGTTTCTGTATTTTTATCCCCTGGATAGTGCTATCCAATGTTTGAACAACTAGGGCCAGATGGATAGCGCTATCCAACATTTGAACAACCAAGGCCAGGACGTGTTGATATTCTTACATTTGTATGTTCACGTTTATGCTTCAGTTGCCCTCAGAGAAAAAATTCTTATGTTAATGCTTATTCTTGTGTGGACCAAAGTTAGTAAGAGTCATGCTTATGACAAGTCAGATTCAAGTTGAGGATTTGTTAAAATAGAAAATGAGCAGATAAAAACTGTCCATGTTCTTGTGAATAAAACTAGCGTAAAACTACTTATTTTTATAGGGGAAAAAGTGAACAACAAACAACAAGTAAAGGGAAGACTTCGTCACATGGTGCAACTTCACCTTTGCCATTGGCTGTAAATCTGACTCTAAATCTCTCTATTACAAAAGTTATAAAATTTTCTTATATCTCAGTTTTTTTTTTAAAAAAAATCCCGCTTTGGCTTATTTATTTCTCTCAGAATAACTAGGACTGTCCCTCACTCCAGACTTCAGCACTGAATCTTGAAGAGTGCACACAACTACACATGTCTTGAGTCAGGTTAAAGAGGTCCAAAGGAGAACAGAAAAAGTTGCTTTGAGAATACTGTGGTTAGCCAAGACAAGAAATGAAATAAAAAAGTTTGAATTAACCATTTTTTCCTTTCACATAGTAACACAAGCATTTAGAAGAAATTTTCTCAGTTTCTGCCTTTAAGATTTATGCCAGATAAACTATATGGTTAAGTTTCCCCTCATTTTGTTGTTTGCAAACTCATGTTTGCATGTTCACACTGCTGGCATAACTAATTTCTGTTTAACTTGAGTATTTACGTTCCTAGTGTGAACCAGGAATGGCATTATGACATTATCCTTATGTTGTTTTTCACACTAATGTATTCCAAGCTTTAGTGGCTTATGCTAACCATGACACTACTGTGGGTCTATATCGTGTTAACACACTAAAATGGTTTCTCTGTTCTTGGACGCATCTCTCAGTATTTGCTGTAGATGATGTTATGTTCAGTTTTTCCTTACAGGATATTGTTTTGACTCAACTGTTTAGTATACATTTTTTTTATCTTTGGTTTCCTTGCCTTGTGTTCATCATTGCTCGGATGGTTCAGAACCAGTTTGTCCTGGTTTTGGTAAAGTCATCCTCATTCTTCTCCTACAGTAATACTGCCAGTGGAGAATTTGCTGTTCATCAATGAACTTGGCACATGCAGGGTTGACAAGTTCTCGACGAAAATGTTCATATTGGAGAAGTTCCAGAAAATGTAGGCACTGGGGATACCTGAAAGAAAATATGGAAACTCAAAAAAAAAATCAAGTCATTCTTGGCCTAAACAGTGAAAATTAAATCCAACAAAGAAATATGAAATTTGCATAAAATCGTGCACGACCCTCCCTAGTAAAACAGACACTTTTGCCATGCTCACAGAAGTGTTAAAACAAAAAAAACTTACAAACAAACACTCAGACTTCTCTTGCTTGGCTAACAAATTATTACAATAATACAACCTGCCAAGAATATTCTTAAGGTTGCTTTTATGACAAACTAAAATTGAAACAAATTATAAAATAACATTTAATGTTATTGTATAAGTTGTGGTTCAATTTTATTTTTTGGATTTAAGTCCACTTCTGTTTGTTTTTTGGGTGTGGGAATTTATGATAAAACTTAAAATTAAATTAAGTCTAGAAATGAAGCACCATGTTGATTCTGTACGTGGGAGTGTTACTTTGAAAATTGTTTTAGTATTCCAAGTCCAGCATACCACCTTAAGATATAACAGTGTGAATTTTTTAAAAACGTTTTAACTTACTTTAGGAACTTTGCATACTCTGGTTTCTTCCAGTACAGAAGATAGTTGAGGTAATTTATGAAAGACTGGTCTTTGAAGTAACCTCTCTGGGCCAAAACTGTGCATGCAAACAGAAAAAGAACAATAAATTATTGTTCTTATTACTATAATAAAAAATATACATTGAACCAGCCATATAACTATCACACTGTGCTAGCCTATAAACCTTCTAGGTTCTGATAGCTCTGACATTCTTTGTGAGATTATTTCCAGGGAGGGAGGGAGGTGGGGGGGCAGAAGGGTGGTCCCTATAATAGCCTATATGGGGAGGCTCCACCCGAAAGGGGGCACCTTTTTTAGGCTTCAGGTGTATGAAAGGGTTGGGATTTCAATTGTTGAAGTACATGAAAGGGTAGGCAAATCTGTCACTTCAGTCTGTAAAAAAGCCCCCCAAAACAGATGCACTTTATGGCTGTGAAAAAGTCGAAAAAATGTTTTTGTTTTGTAATTTATTCATTATTCTAAAAACAGTGCAAATTTACAGAAGTTAAAGGGATACAAAGTTTGAACCTTGGGGTAGGGCCTACCCATATAAACCTTTGTTGAGTACCCCTTCCCCCCTCTGCCCCCAAGGAGATTGTTCCACAATAATGTTCCACTGTAGAAAAAATGCAGTTTAAAAACGAATGGGGAGTGAGTATAGAGAATTTGCTTTACTTGTTTCTAAGTTGATAGTCTGTGTTGAGTGGTATAAACAGACCTTGAAGGCACAATGGAGATCAATAACCCACAGTTTTATACACAAAATATTTCACTCAAAATTGCCCAAGGTTAAGAAGGGGTACTTGGATCTAGGATGTTGATAGGGGGTATGTTAGATATAATCTGGGATAAAAAAAGGGATGCATGAACAGGGACAAAAGGATCCTACCCTCCCAACCCTTCGACATTAAAATCATGACTTTTCCCCCAGCATTAGAAACTTTAGGTCGCTACTGCATGAAGTAAAAACTGATAAAAAGTTGCGATCTGTGGAAAAGCAAGAGGTCTCAAATTACTTGTGACATTACTCCTGTGGGTTTGTAGCGTTTTTTATCCTGCTACAAGCACGAACAGTACACTCAAAGGTTTCTTTTATCATTTATTCAAGGTTAACCACACCCCCCTTTTTTTCCTGTACGTTTTGTGGTAACTTTTGTGAAAGGCTCGCAAAAACATTCCAGTTTTTGAAATGATTTGTGGCGACTATTCAAGATCATATTTCAATCTTTTTTAATTTTCTGCAGTCACGCATGACGCACGTAAATACAAACCTTTACAAGTATAAAACAGTTTTGATAATACAAAAGATAGACTTGATACAAAAATACTGAGTCACGTCATGTTAACCTACAACTTTCACAGAAATTGCAGTTGCCTGATCGGGCAAATAGGATACTAAAATTAATTGCCTGGATAAAATTTTTTGTTAACTTTTAAATGGGACCCTTCCCTGTCGAACCCCCCCTACCCCTGCCAGCCTTAGGGGAAGGTTTCAACAAATGGTCCAGATAAGAACGATAGCAACAACGGCAACGAACACGTTGGAATGCAAAAAAGGTGCTAACTTTTCTATTGTCTGTACTCACTTCTGATTGGCTTAAACAGCAAAAGTTAACAAAACTTCATAAAGCAGTACATATATTCATCCTTACTTTCCAACCATCTTCCATTTAACAAAATCTGGTGTCAGTTTGAATAACAAAGAAATCCTATGTGGGAAACATGTAAAATTGTAAGCTTTTCTTGGCTATTGTTTTCAACTCTTGTGATTGGTCAAAATCTTTTTACACAAAAAAACACCCTTTCAAAGTGGAGTGCAAATGCATTTTATTGCGTAAACGGCCTTCACATAGTTTTATGCATTCTCTGTGTAAAAATGAGAATATTCCTATGTGGGGAAAGCACCGTTGCCGCATAACAAAAGAAATTGCTATCCACCTTACCCTGATAATTACTTAAACATTGTTTCAATATGTCTCTGCATATTCTATTGAACATGACCGGAGTGGACCGTCAAGTGTTCCATTTGCATTTATCTTCCATTTTAAGATAAGACATCTTAAAACTCCAATTAGGACATCAAACTTAAGAAACAACACAGGCACTTACAATTGAGATAATGAGGATTGGCGAGACACTGTACAAACTCCAGTTCAACTTGAAACCTAACACGTGCTTGGTCCTCTGTTTCTGAACGTGAAAAAGAAACAGATCACGTATTTTTTGTCATGTCAAACATTACAAGGTGACAAATATGACTGCGTTCTACGTTATTTACCGTGTGATCTTCTTTCAACAATGTCCATGCCCGTCGCCATTTTTACTTTATTTAGAAGACATCTTATGAATGTTACACCACATAAATATCCTGTGTTAAGTTACCGCTGACTATGTACACTATGGTCTCGCTTCATTGTGTTGCTAAAATATGTTGCTAAAATTATGGTCTGTTTTGTGTTCAGCCAACATGGCGGACGACTTCGACGGCAGAAACGAGTTTGGTGGAAAAGGATTCTACGATAATTTTGGCGATGCTCCTAGGTAAAAATCATCAAATTTCCTCGTTGTAGAAATTTTATAAAACAACTCGATTTTGTCCCTTAGGGATTATGGTGGATCGTACGGTGGAGGAAGACGGCGCGGTGGAGGAGGTGACCGAGGGAATCGCGATCGCGGTCCAAGGCCACTACCGACAGAGCCACCTTTCACTGCATTTGTAGGGGGACTTCCCCCAGACACTGTCCAAGGAGATCTGGATCACATTTTTGCAGATATACAGGTTAGTTTTCTTAGCGATCAAAGACAAAAAAAAGGCCCTAGTCTGAATGGAGTTGATGCTCCGATCATGATTTTTATGATAACCCACGCGTGCTTTCCTTGCAATGAATCTGTGCGATGATTCTCTCGATTTTTTTACCTTCAAACTGCATGGCTTTACTTTCGGTGTAGGTTTTGCTCGGGTGTTAAAGAGAGCGAAGTTGTAGTGTACTTGCAGGTCAGATGCTTTTCCATTCAACATTGAGATTGCTGTCAATAAGATTTAAGCTTATTCATCTCACAACAACAGTGTTTTATACAAGCTTAACAAAAAACTTACAAGACAGCGATTTCGTTATTCAGATCAAGTGCTGCAGCAAACTCGTGCCAGTTAAGTTTGGCGCGAATACTTAGTCACATTTTTATTGTTTCTCCTTAAATATTTTAAGGCGTGGATAACGTTGTCTTCTTTTACAATAATCATGGCAACGCATGCAAGACACATGCACATATAAAAGGTGTTGAGGAGTGGCAAGGTATTCTGCATGAGTATTCTGCAGATAAATTAAATTGCTTAGAACTGAACCTATTTAAATCCAAGGTTTTTTTTGGATGAGGGAAAAAGGTGTTTATCAGAAACAAGGGATGTCATCTATTACTTCATTTTTAAATTCCCAGGGGGACTTTAAAAGTATTTTCCTCATTAAAAGGGAAGGAGGTTGGTGAGCAAAATTAATGATCGGTGAAGGTTTTAGTGTACAACTGCAGATCTAAATGAATCCTTGCATATTTCCACACATGATCAATGTCATCAACAGGGATTGGGAGTCACAATCACATTTTTGTGAGTTGATGGTCGTTTCATAATTAATCATGATACTTCTTCTGCAAATTATTTATGGTCAAAGGCAGATAAGTGACCCCCATTTTTTGTTAGTCCTACCAATTTTAAATGGTCTCAGCAGTTTCGTAGATTTTAAGTTTTGGCTATATTTTGTTTTGAAAAAGTTCGTGGAATAGGGTTGCTTTCAGGAAGGTAACAAAGCAGGGGTCTATTGCCATGCTTCCAAGTAAAAATGGAAATTTTCTGATGGTCAGAAGTGGTAGTTTTGAATTTTTGGCAGAATGTTTGCATTGCTACAGATGCCATCAATGGAAAACTTGAGGGAGAGTTTTTGGGGATCCCCCTTTACACACAGACATTACTTTTTGTCTGGTTCCCTCTATTTTTAGGCATGCCCCCACCTCCTCCTCCTCCTCCTCAAATCTTGCAAGCTCTCACCTATTATTAGGGAGCTTTAGCAATGACGACGGCGACGGCAACCAGACTTCAAAAAAGCAATACGTTTATGACGCAAAACCATCCTTGCACAACTACGACGTGAAAATGCCTAATTGTAAGTTTTATGGAGGACGTAAACAAGCGACGACGAATCTCTTTTTCTCTCTCTAAACTTGAGTGCGGTCCTCAAGAAATCAACTTCAGGGAAATTCGCCTATATTTGCCATTTTCAGCAAATTGGAATAAACACGACAAAGATTGAGAAAACAAGAATTCATTTTAAAACTGACGTTTTCGTTGCTGTTGTCGATGCTAAAGCTCCCTAATAAAAAAATGAACAGTCTGTAAATAATAGCTTGTCAGTTGTAATGCTTGTTCAGTGACCTTTCAATAGACAAATTTGAGGATGATTAATATTTTGATTTTATTGTAGGATAAGATCAGAAGTGTTCGATTGGTGAGAGATAAAGAAACTGATAAATTTAAAGGTACCATAATAAATTGTTATTTTTAAAATTTTCTGGCTCTTCTCTTGAGCTGAATTATAAAAAAACAGATTAATTTGAGTCAAATATTTTTAGTCTACTGATCAGAGAAGATTGTGAGTGATTTAAAACTGTGACTCAATCCCTTTTGCAGGTTTCTGTTATGTTGAATTTGATGATCTCGATGCTCTTAAGGAAGCCCTATCATATGATGGTGCAGTAAGTACACACATGTTCATTGATTGGCTAACCATTAGTCAGTCTTTATTAAACACTCTCATTAAACCTTCAAGTCCCAATAGTGACCAAGATCAATTTTCTCCTAATAATATCTATACATTGTCAACAGCTAAGTTATAAGAATTAATAAAATGATCACCCAAGTAAAAATGCCTTGATCTTTTAACAAATTCTCTCAGCTCATTCTTTAAGGAAATGTATGGAGATCAGTTTGGAGAATTTGTGTGTGGATACTGGGGCTTAAAGGGTCAACATATAGTGAATTGTCATTTGGTGAGCTTGGGTTGCATCTCTGAGCTGAATAAAATTGTGGCCAAGCCATTGCCAAAAATAATGGCCAGTCAACAGACAATGCCCGGCCAGAATGGCGACTTGACTGGCCAAAGACTACACTGGCCAGTCATGTTGACCTTGGGTATTGACCGGTCATGAACACCCTCATTCTTGGACAAACAGCCAAATCCACATCTGTAAACTTAGATTTTGGTCTCTTTGTTCAAATACATTATTGAAGAAATCACGTTCGTAATTAGAAAATTTAGCAAGGATGAGTTAATTTTTTTCAGTGGTTTGACTGGTCAGAATTAAGGCTTGACTGAGAAAAAATTTCTTTGGCCAGTCACTGTGTCTGGCCACTGTCTGAAAATTATCTTGAGCCTTGTAAGCACAGGTGGTGTTCATGGCAGTCCTGACCTACCTAATTGTTAATAACACCAAGCACCATCAAAGTAAAAGTGACTGGTAAACAACATACAGTGCGTGCCACGAACAACATCATTCTTAGGGTATTGTGGAGATAAGAATATGGGCTTCTTCAAATCACCCCATTTATTATGAAATTCTGGCTGGTTGAGTTGCCTGAATTTCATTCACTCCAGTGCATTGCAGGTTTGTCAGAAAGATTTGAAGTAGACAGCTGAGTTGTCAAAGTAAGCGCCCAGTCCAGGGATATTTTTTTTGAATGCCGTCTGTAAAGAAATGCTAAGCAGAGTAGCCGGCCGATGGTAACCACGAAGGTGGCGATTTTCACCGGCAGCCGGCTACTTTTGACAACCCTGCATTGGAAAGTACAGGAATGCTGAAGGCCCAGCAATATTTTCTTATTATTTTAAAGAGTAAAAGGAAGAGGTCATAACTATCCCCCAGTGACCATGACAGGCTTTACTGCTTCTGTCCTGAGCAAAAAGGATCATGTGACAGCTGGTTTATCATGGAAATTATTATTGTACTTAAACACTATATGTTCACAGCACACCCAAACCTTGCCCCTTAATTGCTACTTCACGGCATGCACCCCTACAAGAATCCAAAGAAATACCTTCTGGACAGCCTTGTCTGCTATTCAAGCCATCTGATGATGTAACTATAATTTTGTTAATATTAGATATATGGCAATCAAGGGAGATCTCTGAGGGTTGACATAGCCGAAGGGCGCAAAGAAGGCGGGCGTGGCAGAGGTGGAGGAAGAGGAGGACGAGGTGGAGGAGGATATTCTCATGGTAGGGGTACAAATAGTTACCTACTGGTGTAAAATATAAGTTAAATAAAAATAGGTTCAGTCCTGTGTAGAGAGATTTCCTATGTTAGCTAGGTTTAGGCAACGGTGGAAAGAGGTGAGGGGTGGGACCAGAGGAGGGGAGAGGGGAAGATAAGGTATACTTGATAGAAAAACCCAGGCAATCTGTGATGGGACAGCTGGTGTCGAGTTGTCAGAGAAAACAAATAAAGTTTTTCCTAATTATCAATACACAATTTAGAGAAAAAATTATAAGAATAATAAATGAACAAAATGATCATCAAAGATCTTGATCATTTATCAAGTTCTCTCAACTAATTCTGTTAGGTTATAGAGATCAGCCTAGAGAATTTGTATTTGGATATTGGGGTTTAAAGGGTTGATGCAACACTGCATATACCTGACCTGATTTTCTGTTTCTTTTTAGGTGGATATGGTGACAGAGATGGACAGTATGGTGGACGAGGTATTTAAATGCATTACTCTTTTAGCATGGCTGAGTGGTCAGTGTCTCAAACTGACATTCTGGGTTCAGTTCCTGTTCATGTCGTATATGGCTCAGATTCCAAGGTTTAACTCTGGTTCTCTCTTGCCACTTGAGGATCATTTGCTGTAGATTATTTATTTGAGTGTTGATTTAACTAGCTGAAGCAGCTAATTGCATTTCCACATTGAGCAAAAAAATCTTTACATTTTACTTACTTTTGTAAAGGCCACACGCACAAGTTCAGAAAGTTTTAAACCCTAGAAGAATGGCCTAAAATTCAAAATAGGTATTTCACTAACCTAGTCATAGGCTCCACCCGGTACCCAGACATAAGATGGATCTTCTGGTCATGGCTTGATTCACAACTGATAATTAGTTAGATAAAGATTGTTAGAGAGAATTTTTTGTATGTTTTTCATCACTACTTTGATATTTACAGGAGGTGGAAACTGGAGCAGCAGAGGAGGTGGTGGCAATTGGGGCGGTGGTGGAGGAAGCTGGGGTGGCCGAGAAGATGGCTGGGGTGGGCGAGATGAAGGAAGAAGATCTGGTGGAGGAAGATATGGTAACAGAAGTGGATATGGAGGAGGTGATAGAAGAGGTCCACCACGGTCGGAGGAGTTTAGAGAACCTTCAGCAGGTAAGAAAGTACTCTAATCTCTTCACTCCTTGAAGTAACCAAAGTTGAAGCAATACATAGCAAAACACAAAACCTCCAAATTTCTGTACTGTAAACTGCTGCTTATAAGACGTAGGCTTATACATTTTCTTAAGGGGTTTTAGGAGGGCTTATAAATGGAGGGGCTTATATCCGGAATAGAAAAAGTGCTTCAAAACGAGCTATAGTACTACTGTACAAAATATATTTTGCTTCTACTGCCCTTTAATTAAGCCTCAAAAGGTCATAATAGATCAAATTCATTTTGATACAGGCAAGAGGGGGTCTTATATCTGGGGGGCTTATAATCGGACATCTACAGGTAGTTGGGCTTTTAGCTGGGAAGGCTTATAAGTGTGCCAGGGGGTCTTATAAGCAGCAGTTTATGGTGTGTAAAGTAAAGAAAACATGTTACCATACCTATTTGCTACTGCTGTGTCCTGGCACATAAAAATCCCTAAAGATTCTCCATTTGGTGAAGCAGTTGTTGCAGTGTTTTTAGAAAACATTCACATTTATTTTTTTCCTTTATAAAAACAGAGGAGCTTGCAGCCAGACCAAGATTAAAACTCCAGCCACGCACAGTGAAAGATCCCGTGAATGAAGTGGCATCAAGTGTTCAACAGATGACAATATTTGGTGGAGCAAAACCCAGAGATGGAAATGAACGTAGAACAAACAGAGAGGAAAGAGATAGAAGCGAAAGCAAATCAAGCCAAAGTAGTGACTAAAGGCAAGGTAAATCAGTATTGATGCTTAATTCCTGTGGCAAAATTTGCTTTCTTTTTTTGTTTGGTATTTTGCTTAATCATTTTATATAGTTTTGTCATGATATTACCAGCGCAAAGTTTGGTAACAAATTCATGCAACCAGGTTACATACTTTCAGTTGCATGAAATCGTAGGTCACATGATCTTCAAGTAGACAAAGATGATTGGTGGTAGTAATGTATTTTTTGTCATTGTTTCCATTCATTGAACTGGGCACTGATGAAGACATGGTACTTATAATATGCATATTAGTGATTCCTTAAAGGTCCCCAGTTTGGTACTGAAGTTCTTATTGCATGTCCTAATCCTGTAATTCTACTTCCACTACAGGGAAAATATTATTTTAATTGAGGACAAGACTGCTTTCTTGGATATTGAAGACATCAAAAGCTGCTGCAGAAATAAGGCACAGCACTTTCATCTCAAGAGCAGCTCCCTGTTCAGCTATCCAATCAGTAGATTTGTCAGACTATTTCTACATTTCAAGGCTTGGTGTAACTTGGAAGTTGTGAAAAATCCATAGTTGATGATGACTTTCTGAAACAATCCTTCTTTAGGACTACTGTCAATGGTCATAGAACTGCAAGAGTTAAACATTATAAATTAATGTGCATGTTTCTTTTTACTCTCTGTTGCTTGTTGGAATCATATCCTTTAGGTATTATTATAATTCTTTGTGTACACTTGATTGTAGATTTATTCCTCCAGTCATTTTCCTTTCTCATATGTGAATGATCAGTTTTGTTTGTTAGAATTTCAGTTACAATCCTATACATTAAGTGACATAAACAATTTTAACATTTTTCTTGAGGAAGTTATTAAAAATTGTCGAAAAAAATGAAAACCCTCTCCTGTTCATATTTCACTGTTGTGTTATTGATGATGACTTCAATTTCTTCTCTCTTTGGCATATCGTAATAAAATAAATAATTGGTTACTTTGTTTTAACTGCACGCAGAATGAAAAATTATTGCAGTTTAAAAATTAATAGCCACAAATAAAGAGAAAAAAATATACACTTTTCTGTTTTGGGTGATTCTCTTTTTCAACAAAAGGGTATTCCTGTATTCAGTTGTCCCATTATGGTTACTTTTAATCTATATACTACTTTTACTGAAAATGTTAGAAACTCTCCTTGAGCTCAGTAGCCTGGGTCAGGCTCATTAATTTTTGTATACGTTAGTTCCATTGTTCATCAAAGCTTTTTCCTTCTAACTAGTAGATGTATTGACTAATGGGCACTATTCTCTGACTTAAAGATGGTCATTTAGTCAGGGTCATCAGTGAATCAGTAGTTTCACCAATTTTCTTTATGATGTACTGTTTAGAGAAGATGTTTCATTCCAAGCAATGGTCTGATGGGTTGATGGAAATGATGATATTAGGGGCTTTTTATATGGTACCATAATGACTTTCATTCCAGAATGAGTTTCGTCCAAGTGTGAAGCTTGTACTGCATTCATATTATAAAATTGAACGGCTGAGCCTAAGGTGTCTCCCTGAAATGTGTGGTTTTCATCCCATATCGGATACGCAACCACCACTCAACTCAGACTAAACAATTTGGGATTTTCAATCCAGAACAAAGATCATTTTCAGTTGCATGATACCAGAATGGAATTTCGTACCAGAACAGGAATTTCATGCGGCCTGGAAGCCGGAATGAACTAATTCTGGAATGACCTGTAGGGGGAATTGAACATTGTAATTCGGTATCGTGTAAACAAATATAGAGAAATGTAAGGAGATGGAGTGAATTCATTACAGAATGAAAGTCATTCTGGTACCATGTGAAGAGCCCCTAAGTCTGTTGACCAGTCAGAAACATTGACATAATGTTAATGCTTATTAAAGTTGTTACCAATGATCTGATTTTGTGACAAGGTATTAAAAAAATGTATGTCACCCAGACAGGATTTTATGTGATGCATGTTCTAGGTAAGCAAGTCATTACGACATGAAGTTGCTTTTTTGTGCATTTTAATGTTTTTGTAAAACAGAGTTGTGAATGGTGAAATCACACTGGTAAGAGTAGTGATGTCACTAGGATATTGTATTTAATATTTAAATATCCAATGTCAGCCCTGTTCAGAAGAATAAACACTCTTTGTGAAAGAATTTTGTCATTTTTTACCTCTGATAATATTAATTTATAGTCACATATAAGCTCATTAAACAACTCAAAGTTAGATAGGGACACACGAAGCTCATGTTATTTGCCAGCAAGAGCCCACGCTTCTAGCGAGTTGTGTGGCAAGTGTTTGAAGCAGAAGGGAGCTTAATTATATAAAGGGCACGAAGGAAGGTAGGACTGTGCTATGGCAGTGCTAAGTGGCCGCTGGTGCCTCACTTTTGTTTTTGGGCAACTAAGAAATCTTAGCTTTTCCATTAAAGTCATATACCGGACACCCAGGTTTCACAGGCTCCAAGCACTGGGCTCCCAACCATGGTGGAGGAAGGAAGAGAAAGGAACTTCCCTGCTTACCCTGCGAGCAGACGTTTCTCTCTTTCTTGGCTTTTAGCAAATATTTTACAAATTTGTTCGCGTCGCTTGTTAGTGGTGAATTCGAAGTTACTTTGTTCTTTGTGCCTGGTATAAAGAACAAACTAACTATCATGCCACTTGCAAGCAACACAAATGACTTTGTAAATGCTAAAAGCCAAGCAAGGGAGAAACCTCTGCTCACAGGGTACTTCTCCTTAGCTTTCTTGCACACCCTTCCTAATCTTGCACTTTGTAATTTACCGTTTCTCTCCTCCTTTTAGTTTGTGCGCTTGCCACACAGGGGCTATATTTCTGGTGTCACTTATAATTTTGCTGTTAAGGAAGATTGATTTTATGGTGGAAGAGTAAAATGAAATCAAAGTGCATGATGCAAAACCGAAATTTGTAGAGAGATGTTGGGTTTGAAATCCTTAATTTTTCAGGATGTACAATAATAATCATTTCCTCAACAAGCTTACTCCAGTGAGTTCAGGATTAACATTATGCCATGGTGGATCCAAATCTTGATTTAATGGTGGGGCTGAACCCCTAGGGGGGCACTCTCTTATTTAGCCTATACGGACCTATACGGGTATGTACCACTTAACAGGGTATGGTTTTCAGGGTCTTTAGTCTTAAACAGGGTATTATAATATTATTATAATTTCACCATTTAGCGTCTTCAACAGGGTGTCTTTTTAGACCAGAAGCCTTACTAGACCATGTGACCAGGGGGGAAATTGCAGCTGCTATTACTGTTGGGTATGAGATTTAAAATCTCAGGGCTGTTATTAACTTGTTTCTGTTTCACTAAATTATTGTTGATCAGAAGACTTTTTTTAGGTTAGAAATTTTATACACCTTTTTTTTTGGTGGTGGTGGTAGGGGCAGGGGCCATACATCCTTGGGGTTAAAGGGCATTCAAGCAAAGCAATACCATTCAACTGCTCTGAGGCACACATACCAACTCCGCTATATGGCTAGTACCTTACACATATGCACAACCATATCACCCGGGCAGTGGCAGCCATGGACAGCTGTTTTGCCCTTGTTGGAGCTCATCAGCTTGGCATAGCTGTCAGGTCAATTGGGTAAAAGTCCATGTCCAGTCCTTAATACAGACATTTGGTTACATATTACAACCACATGAAGATTGCCATATCTCGTCCTGACCATGAAAATTGCTCAGTTATCGTCATGTCTCTGAGAGCCCCACTACATAATGCCCATTGTCATAGACCTAGCCTTGGTTGTGGTCTGAGATGAAAGTTCTTATATAGGATTTCACTAATTTCATGCATTTTTCCATTAGCTTACCTGCCTGTCAAAAAATAATCATTTATTCAAACAAAGAACCAAAAATAGGAGATATTCCCAAAGCCAGACCGCCTCAACAAATCTTTGGTTAATCTGTGCTCCGAGCCTTGTAGGCTGGTGAGCCTGTGCCACTACCTGCATAAACTGCTTCATGTAGCAGGTATCGAATATGACAAATCTGCCATATTGAAATCTGGTGAAGGGTTTGCAGACAACGATGGTAAGCTGACAGACTTTTACCATTCAATCCATATTTGATTTCTTTATTGAACAGCTCCATTTAACATTTTTCTGATCGATTTTATGTTGGGTTATTTTTTCCTCACAGTCTGCCATCTTCAACTTTCAAAGTTTGTTAACAGTGGTGCTTTTGTTAATCTGTACATGTGCTTACATTCGATCGATTTACCCTGCTCTCTTGGACAAGAATAAAACCGGGTAAGAAAACTCCTCTGCTTATGGTATTGACATTTCTGAGTATAAGATTGCCCTGTTTCACCTCTGTGTTTGGCCTTTTAATAGTGCACAATACAGTTCACCACTACATTACAAGATTTTTGTGTGATGACGTGGAAAAAACTACGATCTACGCCTTTAGCCCCGGAAATTAATTGCCTCTTTAGTTCAATCAAAGTAGGGCGTTTTTCAAAAACTGCAGATATAAACCACACGACACACGATATAAACCTCTGGTATAATTAATTTTGAGTACCGGTTACACTCTGTATTGGCCGGTATGAGTATGTTGCCTGTCTGGAGGGACTGGGCCCCCATCACTCCAAAATCAAGGAAAGGCCAAAATACCTCATCCTTGATTTGGATGGGCAAGGAGATGGGAGAGGGGGTCAAAGTTTTCTATCTATTTTGTCCCAGATTGCAATCACGGACAGAATAAACTGGAACAGCCAGCAAATCCCCCTTCCCCCGGAAATTGAGGATGAAGCCCTCCAAAGGCCAAAATGTGCCACTTTCCCATCCTTGATTTTGGTGGGTAGGGGATCTATTAGATTGTAGCCTGTGTGACAGGCATTGCTAAGAGGAGGGGGAGAAGAGAATTCATGCAGGCATGCTAACATAATGGGTGCGGAAGGGAGGAGAAGGCTTGCAAGAAAGCCATTGTTTCTGTCATTTCCCCATCATTAGATCCACAAATCTGAGTTATCTTAAGAAAAGTTGGCAGGTATAGAAAATCATGGTTTGTGAACCACATCTCGTATTATCTTTTCTCTCTTCAGAGAAATGGGTAAAACAAAACTGCATTTCTGTCTTTAATTTGTTTTTAACAGTTATGGTGTTTTTAAAGATCCCTTTTTCCTTATGCAACCAGATCTTTTATTCAATTAGCCATTTGAGGTCACATCTGTTTTGTTTTACTGTTGACCTTTGCGTCAGATTATTCCACTGCATGAATGTCACTACTTTAGTAATAGAGTGGAAATTGAATTGCACTTATTCTGTACAAATTAATAGTCTGATACATGTATCTCATTCTTCTCCAAGAAAGGCTCACCCATCAAACTAAGATGTTGAGCAAATATTCAATATCCATTTTTACCAAATTGCTTACATATTCTACATCAGCCTAGAGTTGTTAGGATCTCATCAGGGTGCTAATTGAGAACCAATATTCAAATTAGCACGGTTATGATTTCTACCACTCTGATGGACACATAATTAACAAATAGCAATGTGCGTATGCTACAAATCTGAGTGTAAAAAAACGGGTCAAACAATATGTCCTTGCAGGACTTCCTTTCCCTCTTCCCGCACATACCCATTGCATCACCTTTTGTCTTCCCCTTTAAATGCCTTACATTCAGGCCGTCAGTTACTGTAATCTCTGTAATAAGCCCCTCCTTTATATTAAGCCCCCATCTTTGTTAAGCCTGTTCCCATTAAAGGGTAACCATGGCTGATTTTTCTTTGTTACACAGCCTGTTGGGAATATTCTGGAAGGCTGCAAGAATAGGTGAGACTGGACTACTGTTAATTTTTCTTCCTTTAGCCCACCTTAATATTTACCAGTTTGCATCATTAATCAAATGTGTGGTTAAATGTCAGGTCTCAATATTTTTAAGAAAAGGATTAAAAAATATTGTATTGATTTATTGAGGTAATATAATCATACCAAAGATAGCCTTTGTAGTTATCTAATTGAAACAAGTACAGCCATTCACATGTTGATTATGTGTTAATCATTTTATACTTTACAGCAGGGGCTCTCCTTGTTAAGCCCAAAAGGGTTTGTGGAGAGTTCCTACTCTACTCTTGCTATCCTGTTGTGAAAATGTACCTATTTAACTGACACAATTTGTAGCGTGAAATAAAAGATTGATTGATTGAGGATGGATGGATGTTGGCTGAAAATTTAGACATAATGCAATTATTCTTTATCCTTCTTTATATTGTGTTGGAAATCTTAGTAAAAGGTTACTTCATTAAACTATATTTAAAAATAATTTTGAAAATCATGAAGAATTCTGTTTATGGAGGTTGATTTAAATTCAGACTATTTGGTACCCTTTCCATACTCTTTTCTGTAGGTGAAAGAAAAAGTCCTTACGTTGCTGTTTGCTGTATAGCCATGGCCGCAAGCATTCTCTTTTGGCAGTGAAGCAGCAATTTATTACTTGCATCTATCAGTGGAATCAATGAAAACGTCAGCAGGAGTAAGAGGATAATTACATAATATACAGTAAACCAGGAAGGGGTCAAGCGAGACAAAGTTTAAATGAAAATTATGGAACATGTATATGGACAGTATTTTTTCAACATGAAATCTGCATTCTACAACTTTGTAAGATAGTGGTAAACAGTATTATTTATCAGTACATTGTTTTTGTTTCAAAGAGTAGTGGAATGAGTATTTTCAAATTCATTCATTAAACTTTTTTGCGGACTTGATATATTATAGGCCAAGCTGTTTTTTGATTGCTCAAGCTTTAGTTTGGGTTGAAATATGAAAAAGATTTTACAGATGCTATCAGTGACTAGAGAATAATAATCATGTTTTAATAACAACCTTATCATCGTGACAAGCCAGGACAGGAATGATCTGTCTAGACAAATAACTGTTATCCATAAAAATACTTCAGTTCAGTTTTCAAGACAAGCTAAGCTGATAGTTTATCCACTACGATGATCGTCCTGTTTTCCATTTTAATACGCACACAAATAATATTAATGATGATGTCAAGTTCAGTAAAACAAGCAAGGTATCCTGTCCCAACTTAGTCAACATTTAGCTGACATGACAGCTTATTATGGTTGAAGATGTTATATTCTCAACCTCATTAATAATTCATAAAAAAGGAAATTAATGTTTAATGATTGTTTGAAAATCAGATGAAAAACTGTCATTTTTGCATCTTAATTTCTCGTTCTAAAATCATTCAGGATTAAACACAGTGTTTCATCACCAGATGAAACACCTCGAAGTTCATCACTCCACTGCACGTCATATTTTTAACTCTCTTCTCGGTGTTTCATCTGGGAATGAAACACTGCATTTCCATTGGGGCAGGCTTTCCATTGGTGTACTTTGACTGGTCAAAAATAGTCTGGCTTTTCCTCAACTTTCTTCAAGACATAAATAAAATAATATTCCACGAAACTGAAATTCTTTGTACATTAAAGTGGAGTTCTGAGACAATGTTGCGTATTGCTCCTTTTCTTTGCATATACTAATTGTTTGCTCAGCAATCTGTACCCACCTATGCAGGCATTTTTAAGGCCCAAAGATACATTCCTCCCCTTACATGACAAGCCAGGGGTGTCTGTGTACACTGTACCTTTTGTAACTTCAGTTTGTATTTCTTGAATAAAGTATTGTGTTGTATTGTACTGGCTGAGTTTAACTCTGGCCTCTCCCTCTCTGTCACACATCTGCAGAGAGGTGAAGGGGCCAGAACAGGGCTATTTGGAGGCTAAGTGTTGTGTTGTTTTATATGTTTGTTTGTTGCCAATTTTCTGTCCTTCCTTTCAAAAAATAACAGCGAGTTAAAGATAACGTGACGGCCATGAAAATGTTGAATTTGTGTTCTTTCAAACTCTATCATGATTTTCCCAATTCACCTACTTCTTCAAATGCAAGCAAACTCTTCTGGATTGGAATTCCTGACAACCATATCAACATTGACAGAGAGAAAGAAAATTTCAGTCACTTGTTTATGTCCTCCATAAAACATGAAACAAGGCTTATTCATGAGTAGTCGTGCAGCGACGGTAAAGAAATGTACAAAAGGGCGTGATGCACATGCAAAGTTGTTGTTTTGCTAATCTACACCTATTGCTTGTTTGACATTCTCATTGCCATCGCTGTCATGGCATCTTAAACTCCCTAATACGAAGACCAGAGGTGGAACTGATCTCTTGGCAAGTTTTTAGTGTTTGGGTGTTCTATGGATGCCCGGTTTTCAGAGGAAAAATGTTCATTTTGACATGTTGGTTTAGAGTTGCTGGCTTAAGAGTTGATGTGGAAGTAGCCTGTCCCAGGAGTTGAGGGAGAGAGGATGGCAAATAGAAGAAAAACAGAGGTGATAAAAGAAAGGGGAACTGGGGAGGGAAAGTGAGAGTTTCCTTCTCTCTCCTTTTCCCACTTTTTCGCTACGCCTGGCATTTCCACTTTGATCACTCCTCACAACCTGAATGCTTGCTAAAACCCTCTCTAACAGAAACTGAAATCAGATGAAAATGCTTTAAGAATACACAAGCAAAGTTAAAGTTAAAGTTGCTGTCACGGTTTGAAGGGGATGTACGATTGCTAAAAGGTAAGATATGCAACTACAATTAATATTTGCTGTAAAGTCTTGACTGATTGAAATTTATTATCAAGGCAAAACAACCAACACTGAAATTCAAAAGATTAGAACCTCTTGATCACTTAAATGTAAATAAAATACATTTCCTTGAAAGTTACAAGCACTGAGCAAATGTCTAGCGACACATTTTTTCTTCAAAAACACTTGTTTTCTTTTAACATACCTTCCACATTTCATTATTGTGTAGTTGCCATGGGATAGAGAGTACAGGAGTGGTTTTTGATCTTTTTGAATGACTGCTCCATTGTGTCTCCATGAGCAGTGGGACATGAGAGAATATCTCTTGAACCACATTCTTCACACAGTTTTACAGCCAATTGACAACAAAAACATGTGGAATGAACTAGTTGTGTCTGACAAATCCTATCAGCTACACAGGCTAGTTCTCCCTTCCATTAACAGTTTAACCGATAAAAATGTTGCTCAGAATTTTAGCTAGCCTGCAACACATTAATGAAAAGATACCTTTTTTGGAGGAGAACCCAAAGCTTGAAGTTAAAGAGCCCTAGCATTAAGAATACACAAATCTTTATAGAATGATTTCCCTTAAAAAGCAACCACATGAAGTGCGAAAGTCTGTTTCTTAAGACCCTGTTATCTATCCATTTTACTAGAAAAATATCACTGTCACTTTTCCTGACTGTACTTGATAAGCAAGACAAGGTTCACACATGCATATTAAACACAAGTCATACCAATAATGATTACTCTGAAGTACAATGTTTAAAAAGTAGAATTAAATGTCATACTACCAAGATTCAACCAAGGTAGGTATTTCTAACTCTATCCTAGACCAGGGAACATTGTCTCAAAGTGGCTTATGATGACACCACAACTTCAGTTGAAAAGACAACCTCCATGCCTTGAAACCAGTTGAGCTCAGTTTGTTTCTTGTACAAGTTCTCAAAAATGCGGATATTTTTCTGCACAACCTCCAATTGCAGGGCAACATCTGCAATGGTTTTTGGCTGTAAGAAGTTTCCCAGTATCCCACCTTCATCCTTTGACAGGATGCACAAATTGTCGTACTCAGCAGCAATCTTCTCTGGGGTAAGCTCTAGACCAGCATGACTCATAGCTGCTATGAGACATTCGAATGCCAAGTTGTCAACTTCCATCCACTTTGCACTCTCTGATTCAGATTTTATAGAAGGGGAGGAGAGGGTGAGACCTGGAATACGACTTTTGATCACCTGGACTTTGTGCCGGGGTCTGAACCTGCGAACTTGTCGAGCTGGTTTGGAAGCTTTTGCTGCTTGAGCTGTGCCATATGGATTGCAACAAAGGTAGCAGCGACACCTGTGGGAGCAGCCAGATGCATTCCGATAACAGGCACAGCGGGTGAGGTAACCACCCTCCAAAGTCAAGCAGAACTGGGTACGCTTCTGATTCTTGCCACTTCCTCGTCCACAGCTACAGGAAAAAGTCTGCTTCTGGATGTTTGCACCGTCTGTGAAGGTTACAACTGCTTCATTGTCAAGCAGGCCAGGCTTTCTCCCAGGGGTGGAGGCTTCTCTCAGTGACTTACCACGTCCAGCAGCAACAGGTTCAGGGATTAAAACCTCTTCACTACAAGCTGCCTTGTCTTCCTTATCTTCACAATCCATAGACTGATCTATCACATCCTCTGCTATGGTATCGGTTGGCATATTTTCCTCTGCAACAGCTTCATCTTCTTGGGGTACCACTTCTGTTTCACTGGACTGTAAAATGGTTTGTTCATCTACTGCTGGTTCAGTACCTGGTACGATTGCAATTTTTAAAGGACTTTCAGTAATGGCTGGTTGCATGGTGCTCTCATCTACCCCCGCCTCACTGTAAGCCATTTCAATAAGGTTGGCTGCTGCTTCAACTCCTTCATCAACAGTACCAACAGTTGCAGAGGGAGCCAGGCTGGAGTCCTGCACAGTTTCTGTAGTTTCACCTTCTGTTTCCCCTGTGGACATATCTACAGGTATGGCTTGTTCTGTTACATCAGCAGCAGATGAATCAAGTGTGGAAGACTCCAGTGCAGATGAATCAAGTGCTGATGAATCTAAAATTGAGTCATCTTGTGAAACCTCAGCATCAGCAGCATCTGTTTCCTTTTGAGTCTCCTCTTCCTCCTCTTGAGAATTTCCTGATTTCGGTTTCTTTCCCCTCTTCTTGGGAACTTGATTACTCTTCTGTAGTGCTATCTTCTCCCTGTACCGTTTCCTGCTATCCCTGCGTCTCTCCAAGGGATCAGTCATCAGTTTTGGCAGGACTATGGAACTACTAACATAGGTCCCTACATCAAAGAACCCTCCAAAGCCAGCTGCATTGTAAGCCACGTGGACACAAGAGCCGATAATAATGGCATCTGATGGTACCACAGGGACAATGGGGAAATGCTGAAGGGAGGTGAAGACGATGACTGGCACACGGAGGACCTTAGCAGCAGCAATTGGCAGGAGATTGGACATTTCAGCTACAATACAAGCAAAAAAAGGAATATTCAACTCAACTTATTGCAATAACATTGAACTCATTGCTTGTACAAGTGCAACTTGTAATACTATCCACTGCCTATCAAATTGAGGCTGAAAAAAATTCCAAAAGAAGAGAAATAAAACAGATAATTATAAGACTTTACACAGTGTTTACGCATTTTTTATGGATTGTTTTTATGTGAAATCAATACTACAAAAGTCTGGTTTCCAGTTCTATATGCCAGAGAATTCAACCTGAAAAAACTAATCAGGGCCAATACCGTCCAAGTTTGAGCTTTAATTATGTTTCCATTAACAAAGATTTGGAAAAGCTATTACCACAGCTTTATCACACAAATATGAAAATCTGTTATGAGCAATGTTATGTTGACATCGAAATTGTCATAGCAACGAAATGACATCGATAATGTTCATGAAGTTTCAGCAAAATCTATGAGAGCGTTTCTGAGATATTTTGGGCTCATGTTTTTAAGGTTAGAAATACAGAAATGCAAGACTGGACAGTCTTGATGTTCCCAGGGTTCTCAATAGAAGGCGGCACCCGGCGATTGATCGCCGCTTACTTTGGGAAAATCTACTTTGTGTTTAAGAGACATTTTGGGCTTTGTTTTGACACCTCTTAGGGTTAGAACTTTATCAGAAATCACAAGACTGGACAATCTTGATGTTCCACCATTATCTTTAGAAAATGAAGTGCTTTTAAATGCAATTTCACCTCATAGTAGTTTCAATCTCTTCAAAAACCTGTCTGAAAATCATGGGGACAGCTTAAATTGGATTTTTTACAAATGTGATATTCTCCAGCTTATATGACCCTTAAGTTTCACCATCATCAAAAACTTGTATACAATAAAATAAGGACTCCAAAACACTAATAATTTGTCGGAAATTTCGTGTCTGCAAGCGAGACTCAGAGCCATTTGTTATTCAAAGGCATTGTCTCCAAGTTTCATAATATTTTTGTGGACAATAATAGTTAGCATACCTGTATATTTCAAGTGCATTGTTAGTTACTGCTGTTCACATTAAAATGGAACTTTTGAATAAGAGAGGCTCTCACTTGTAAGCATGAAATTCACAGCAAAAAATTAACACACTGGAATCCTTATTCTATTGCGTGACAAGTTCTCCATAATGCTAAGACTTGAAAGTCAAATAAAACAATGAGTAATCTTGAGCATATCATATTTTTTAAAAAATCTATCATTTGTTACAGTAGACCAAAATATTAACGAAACTAGCGGAACAAACTCCTGCGAACGATTGTGGGAAAAAAAACCTCCCAGTGCCGAGATATATTCCTGCAAGTAAAATAGATAATGATGTCTTTTTGTTGCTATGATGACTTCGATATCAACGTAACATTGCTCATAACAAATTTTTATCTTTGTCTGATAAAGCTGTTAATGGCAACGTAGTTAATGTTTAAACTTGAGAGGTATTTTGGCCCTGAAAAATCCAATCGAGCCACCTCAAAAATAATGATGTAGAAAATCTATGTTTGTTTTAGAATTCTGTTCAAAACATAAAAATTCCAAACTTTCTGCTCTACCAAGGATCGTGTAAATTTCAAGAACTTAAGTCCTATATCATCTACAAATTTCCCAATCCTGCCTGTAAATAAGGACAATATTATTACATAATTATAAAGAAAAAAAGAGATGGGTTATATGAGTTTGTCTTACAAAACATATCAAGGAAAATTCAGCCACTCAACATCTCTCCTAGTGTGAAGATGTTCAGACCAGAGACTTTGCTTAAAGAAAAGAACATTATTTCATTTTTTGTGTAATGAATACAGATGAAAAAGGACTCCCCTAGTATTAAATATAAACTTTGTGGAACTGTGTTTTCTTGAGTCAATTGTTCATCCTATAATTCTTCCACTTAATATCAATTATGGTAATTAGACAGGCTCTATAACAGACTGTATCAAAACATTTCATGAGGTGTATGTGTACTGGTGCTGAAATTTAACCCTGGCGAATGACTGTGGCTAAATTGCATGTCAAACATTGGGAGAATGTATTCATAGTTTATGGAGCCTCTTATGTTTCATACCTTTAAAGTATCCTCTGTTTCTGAATGCTTGTGCCTCTTCTGAGAAGCTGATCATATGTGACACCAGAAGCTTGCTGTAGTCTTCTTCACTCGCCAGCCACTCGTCACTAATCAAATGTCGCAGCACAGAAACATTCTCCTCCAGGCTGCTCCCTTCATCAGTAAGGTAACCAATGGATGCAAGGTGCTGTTTAACTGATTCTATTTCAGGTAAATCACTTCGAAGGATGGAGTTGAGCCCAGAACTGACTGCAGTGAAGAACCCGTCTGCTTCTGTAGTGTCCTTCTTCTCTGAGAACACCATCAGCTGGTAGTAACGCAGCATTTCGCTCAGCCGTACCTCATGGTTTGATCGGTCATCAATGGCACATTCATTGCGACTGAACAGGATCAAAGAACAAGCCATCAGGTGCAACAGACGGGGGTTGATGGACACTTCATTGACTGCTTGTGTTTTCAAAAGCTCCCACACAGACATCAGATTTGATGCTCTTGCAATGACTTTCTTGAGAACTGACTGACTCAAGCTGTTCTCACTGCTTGCCTGCTGTACCTCTGCATCTTTGTGGCCATCAAATGCATCCAGGATCAAACATTGCAAAGCTAGAACATCAAAGGAGTAACTGGCAGAAGAAAGGCCATCACTGGTCTCATCCTCTTCTGTCTTGACAATTCCAAACCTCTCAGAACTTGGTGTAAAACCACTGACTTCTAAAGTGCCCCTGTACTTTGCAATTGGCCTCACAAGAGCACCAATTGGCAGCTGATTAGCTTTTCTCTCATTCCACACATACAGAAGTGTGGATATAAGAGCCAAGGCCATGTCAACATTCAGAAACTTTCTCTCCAAGACTGGCCTTAAAATGTTCTGCAGGTCAGAAACATTCTCAGTTGTGGAGGAGACAGGGATTTCGGATAGGCACCCTGCTGTAATATGATTTCTTAACTGAACAATCTGCCTCTGTGCAGCCAGTGTTAAGACACGCTCAGTCCCTTCAATAATTTCTTTCCAGCCAGTGACAAAGGCATCAAGGTTTTCAGTAATAATCTTTGGAGGAGGTGTGTCCTCTTGCTGGGTGTCTCCTCGATCAGATGGATAACGAAGACACAAGGCAAAGTCGCGAACACAAGCTTTGGTCAACTGATTATCTTCTCTCTTCTTTGCAGGTATTTTCCTGACAACTCGGTGAATGGCTTTGGTCACTTCCAATTTGACAGGTACTTCTGCACCAAAAATATCCTGGAACAACTGTTTGGTTTCGCAACACTCTGGAACAAGGATCATCTCCAGTTGTCTTCCTTGCTGTTGGAAACGCTGCTGCAGCCCAACCAAGATGTCTTTCACCTCGTTTAGATCTTTTTCTTTGCTAAACTTCCATGCAATGACTTGGCCTTTCTCATTCATGACTGTGTACATGTTTTTAAAGTGAGTTGCCCACTTCCCATTGTCTAGTTTTTCACCGATTGTAGTGGCTACTTTGAAGTAATAACCTGCGATAATGCGTTTAGCAGACCACTCACTCATTCTCTGTATGTAGTAGAGCTCATTTCCCTCAAACATGTGTACTATGCTTGACATGATGGTTTCCAAAGATGGCACTTGTGAGGCCTTAAACTCAGGGAATTTCACAATTTCTGCTGAGTCGGTATCTGGGTTTTTCTCCAAATAAGTCTTTAATTCTGCCTCAAATTTGCACTTGCGGTCTTCATATGCATCACGATGCCTCTGAATCAGCACATTTTCGATCTCATGAAATGTCATACCAGCAAACACGCACGAGTGAACCCAGTTTGCCAGTTCGTGAGTGAAGCCTGTTCTATGCAACAGGAAGAATGGAACTTGGAATGATGAAGGGATGTTCTCAATGATTCTCGGATCATGAGCAATGACTTTGTGACCTTTCTTACAAGTGTACATGCGACTCACCAATAATGTACTTCCATCACAGCAATAAAGAACACGTGGGACATCCTGCGTTCCACGGGCAGCTTTCCACCTACCATAATGGCTCTTGCTGCTTGTGTGGGTTCTGAGCACACAAAATTCATTATCATGGATCTCATGAGGACACGACAACTCTGTTAAGTTTGGAACTTGACTGAGTGGATCCCAAAGAATGACAGTAGGTACCAAGAACTTGGCTGGCTTTGGTGGACCTGGATCATCTCTTGCCACTGGTATCGGAGGAAGGACAGCATCAGCAGAGAGCCCACCTTCTGTTTCTTCATACTTCTTCAGGAGATCAGTGAGGTAATCTGCAGTCTCAACAGTTAATCCCTCCTTTTGCATCTAAAATTAGAAAGGAAAAAACTACCATTTTAAACTTACAATGAGGTTAGTTTTTTTTTCAGAACTTAATAGATAAAGTCTTAAGCTATAAATTAACTTCAGCTCTGGCATCCCTCAGCTGTGGACCAAAATGCACACCATTGCACAACTTCTTGAACAAAGCAACCTTCAATCCATCATCTGGCGACGTGAGAAAAACATTTACGGACGTTCTTGAGCTGGAAAGGTACGCTTTCGTTTCTTGTAGAAACATAATGACTCGCTGCCGTGAATATTTCAGTAATAAATGACACAATCTTCATTCAAGTAGTTTCGCTCAACCACACACACACAAAGCACGTTTTAGAGAAATTTTGCATAATTTTCGCGCTCATTTTGCATCCCCTAAAGATCCACGAGGTTGTTGAAAGGGAAAAAATAAGCTAGATAACGAAAACAGATGCATTATCTTCATTTCCAAGCCCCCAAAATTCACAAAGATGCTGTCTTTAGCAATGTAGGCAGATAAAACAGCGAACATGAAGCACTTTTCCACGTGCGAAAAACTACAATCATTTTCATGCGTCCTTACATGTTGGCCACATTGCATAGGCATCGATAACTTTTTTTTTCTCTTTTGCTCTCGTTTTTCAAAACCAAGGAAAGAAATCAATGAAAGACACTATTAGATACTAACTAACATTATTTAGGAAGGGAATTAAACTTACCTTGGGATAATTTTTGGCAAAATTTAATCACTTATGGCGGAACCATCACGACTCCATGTGAAGCGTAAACGAAACTGGGACAAGGACCGGTTACCAAGCAGTTAATAAATATTTACTTATCTCAGAGAATCACTTCAAAGGTTTACGAGATCAATTTAAATTTGTCTGAATCTCATCGCACGATGTTAGATGGGTTTAAAGTTTTTCTGCAGAGTGGCGATCGCCTTAGCCATAGTTTTAATAGCAGTAGTTATCTTAGAATTTATGTTACTGACTTTATACGTTAAGGAGCAAGAAGAAGATGTCCTTAAAGCTACACAAGAACCGATTGTTGCAGGGATTAGAGGACTTGAAGTTGCCACGGAGAACAATAATTTCGCGTCATCTACGAAAGAATCACATTCTAAGAAAAAAGAAGTGATAGATGTTCCGACTAAAAGGTAAAGAAGTACATTTACCTCCTATGATAGGCAAGAAGTAATATATGCTTAATAAGGTTATGTTATTACATGTATAAAAAAACGTGAATCGTTTCGATTGTTAAGGAACAATGATAATAGAAACCTGGGTAGAAAAATATTTATACACGTAAAAGAGAACAAATGGCATACTTTTCTCCCTGTCGTTACTAAAATGGAAGCCTTGGTTTGCAGAGTAAGGCATGAAGCCGCTTGCATTTATTCATTGAGATATTCAGCTGATGTTTTCATTAACTGAATTATTTTCCAGCTGCTAGGAATTAAATGGTCAGCAGTTGACAATTATCTGAGGGTCATTCCACCAACCTCCCATTGAGAGGGAGGCGTAAGGGGGGTATGAATACCCAAAACCTCACAGAAATACGTATAAACACCACACAGAATAACATTAGAAAACCTCAAACCGCATTGAAATAATCTGAAAATTTCTAAATATTGCTAACCGCTTGGTATTATAAAACTGCAATACCACAACTTAAAGTAACAATTTCTGCAAAACTGCACCAAAAATTGAGCAAAACCACGTCACCGCAAGCTGTTACACCCCCCTCCATAGATGAGATTTTTTGAGGGGGTTGCGGCATTGGCGCCTTTTTTGTTTGGAATGTTTCTGAGCAATATGGAAAAATTCCTTTTGAGTGTAGGGGAGAAAGAAAATGTGGGCTATTTGGAGGGGCTGAGTAGTGGACTGGGTCAGTACTTTTGATCCTTTTAGTCAAGTTATTTTATTTGTGGGTGTGGCAGGTGGCTATTATTAATGGAAGATGTGAGGCATTTATGCATGGCCATCTGCTAAGGTTAATTCTGGCAGGTTTTTAGTGACAGCTAAAATTATAAATAAATAAATATTGTGGACATCTCAGAGACATACATCCCTCTTGATGATTTCCTCAAACAATATGGTAAGATCGATCATTGGTGAAGAATTCCATTATTGGATGTACTGGTTATAACATAAAGCATAGTTGTGTAGAATCCCTCGTGGGTCCACTTATGCCCTTTATCCCTTTTGCAAGTTCATTTATATTGTGTTTTTGTTTAGGGTGGGGTGGGGTGGGGAGATTCATATAAAACTTAAAGGGATGATCATTAAAGATTTTTAGTAACTGAACCCTTTGAAAACTAAATCTATTTTTGAGAATAGCTTAAGTTTATTTTCCACTGTTGCATAATTTTTATGTGCATAAATAAAATAGAGGCAATGTGTGGAAGGTCAGCCATAAGTGTAAATGCTATGTGCTTATGCAAATAAAAATTAAATAACAATGGAAATCCACAACAGTACTGATCCATAACAGAACATTACCTAGGGGTGAATCCAGAAAATTCAGAAAGGGGTGGCCCACTTGCCAACCATATAGTTATAGTTATATAGTTATAGTTATTCTATAGTTACTTTTTATTTTTCTGAGAATTCTATAAAAATAATACAAAATTTAAAAGAAAAAGGGGTGGTCACGGCCCCCTTTACACACCCCTAAATCTGCCCTTGTTACCTGTGACAGTATAACTCATAATTAGCCAAGGTTTATTTTCAAGGTGAATTAAACATTTGGCTTGAAGCTAGTTATATTCTCTTTAGAACATTGACCCTACCTACCATTCATGTAAGTGCTGTGGTGTGTGGAGACCGGGCAGTTGAAGCAACAACAATGCTCAAGTCAACAACTCTATTTACTAAGAGAACTGTACAACTCCATGTTGTCGCAGAAGATCAACTCCATGATGATTTAAAGAACATTTTTAATCAATGGCATACAGTTCGATCTGGAAAAGTCATGTTCAAAATTTACTCTTTACACTTTCCTGGGGAAAAGTTTGATGAGTGGAAACGACTTTTCAAGCCATGTGCATCACAGAGGCTGTTTCTTGTGGTAAGTACAAAACTATTTATTATGTAATGTATGTGTTTAGTCTGTTTCGTTGCGTACTTGTCAGTTTAGATAACGACTTGTGGCTTTTAGTGCAAATGAAAACGTAGAGCTGAATATTGTGATAAGCTGTTTAAAGGCAATTTTATGTTGAGTTTTTTTATGTACAGTGAGAGAACCTTGATATAACAAAGGGCCAAGGGACTGGCAAATTGTGTTCGCTTCAATTATGAGGATTCATTAATGAAAGTTCTTTTCCATATTTTACTATTACCAGGGTAAAGAAAATCATTCACTTTACCAAAGACTTTGTTATATAGAGCTTCATTATATTGGGGTATAAAATTGTAAGACAAACTTTAGAGGGGTGTTCAGAGCCACTTTAAATTTGGGGGATCTTGTAGTGGCATCTGAATACCTTCTTTATCAATTTTCTACAAAATCTCTCCTTGGATAACAGTATTTTGAACAGAATATACTGTTGCCATGGTAACTTTGCACGTCAGGAAAATGATCATAACTTGTTTATCAGTGATTGGACACTTAGTACCAGTGACGATTGTTGTAGCATCTGTTGATAAAGAGTAGTTAGCTACTAGGAGACATCAGTGTTTTCAAACAATGTTTTTGTTAGTTCCAATCTGCAACAAGTAAAACAATAGAATCTTTTGTTGAAAGAACCAGTGCACTTCTGGTTGGCACATTACACAAATGATTACGATGTCAATAGGCGACATAAGCATGAGTATTGCTTTAGGACTGATTCTTCACCTGAAAGTACAGAGCATTAATTAGAGTAATTGTAGAGCTAAGTGGCAAAATTAATATTCTTCCATAGAAGTCCATTATCACCTTTCTTGGGTTTTGCCCTTCGTTTCATTATTATATTTGATGCAGTAGCTAAATGCTGTTTATGGACCTTGGTAAAAGATTGTTGTATTCTTTTTCATGGCCAGCTACATGCCCAAAAATAACCTTGCTACATTAATCTTCTGGTTTCATCAATGAAATGCTGGTTGTTGCCATTTTGAAAAAGTGGCTGTTACCTGAAGGTTTCAATAAACATGAACATCTGAACTGGCAGGCAGGATGAAGGATGGCCTACTCGAAAGAGGGCCAAATCATAATAGGTGGAGGTTTGATTGTAATGGAACTGTTGTCAGGTTTCTTAAGATAGCATATCGGAAATTTATTTTCTAGGATGTGCTGGATTCCATTGATAGTGTGCTGTACATGGATACAGACACACTGTTGCTAAGACCTGTGGACGACATTTGGGATCACTTCAAGAACTTTGACAGCTGGCAGCTGGCATCAATGACGCCAGAGGGAGAAGAAACATCATTGACCTGGTATCCCAGATTTGCACGTCATCCTTTTGCTGGCAAAAACGGAATGAATTCTGGTGTTATGCTTCTTAATTTAACCAGAATGCGAGCATTTGGGTGGAAGGAAAAGATAATTGAAGCTTACAACAAGTACAAACTTAGCATAACCTGGGGAGATCAGGACTTAATAAATATTGTTTTTCATGATCATCCAGGTAATGGCCTTGTTTCCTTTTTTGAAGATTATTTATTTCACACTAGCTCCTTGATGTGGAGGCCTTTGTACAAGAATGTCCCCTTGATAATCTGGTAAAATTTTTAAAGTGCTGCAAAATTTCAAAATTATGCAGTTTATTTTCACCTTTATTACAGAAAAACTGTTCCAAGAAATTATGTGTGCAAAACACATCTACTTTACAATCAGCGACAACAGATCCCTTAACTTTCTGCCACCCTAAGGGCAAAGTTAAGCCCGACTCTCCCCCAAACAATGTTGTTCTTTGTTGATTAAGGTGAAATGTAGTAATATTGGAAATAATTTATAATTGACCTTTCCCACATTCCTGTAAACAAAGGCACCCACACAAGGTTTGGGTGGACAAATACAGTGATTTGTATGAAATTGTCCACCTGAGCCTGATCATCCTCATTTCTTTATGTTTGCTCACTGAAGTGTAAATATGCAGGAAAGGTCTATTTAATGTGATGTGCATTATCAAACAAGGTTGTAAGCTTGACTTAGGGTTCAGTTTAGAAAGCTGCACATATTCTACAACATTGAAAGAGGGGGGAAGAGAAGGGATATTGCAGCAAGACATTGACCAGGGTAGTGCAGGGTAGTGTAATTAAGTTAAGTGCTGGTATGGATATTTTCTGACAGAAGAGCCATTTACACAAATATGAAAAATGAGATACCTAGCTAGATGTGTCTTAATCAAAGCAAACTTCCTTTATAAAATTAATGATACAACAACAGTCTCAGTGAGACACACCTTACATAATTGCATATATGTTCCTGCTTTTGTCTTACAATTTGTCCTTTGGTGTTTCAAATGCCCAAGAGGTTTTGCACCCCAACCCCCACCCCACCCTCACTAATGTTTCTTATTGTTATTTGAGAATGTCAGCTTTGCACCACTTGTATCTACATCACAACTAACTGTCAGATGTGATGTTTTTAGGTTTGCTATATGTTTATACATGTGACTGGAACTATCGTCCTGACCACTGCATGTATGGGAACAATTGTGGGGCAGCTAAAGACAATGGCATATCAGTAGTCCATGGAAATAGAGGAGTCTTCCACAATGATAAACAAGTCTTCTTTAAAGCTATTTATAACACCTTGAGAGATTTTAAACCTGGTGAAAACATCACGTTGCTGGCAACTCGTTTATCAGAAAATCTTAAATCTGTTGGGACTGATCCCTATTGTAATGCCATGGTTGACAGTGTGTTAAAATATCCCAAAAAATATTCTGTCTTATGAAAATTGGTAATATAATTTAATTGTTTTTATAGGTAGTTTGATTTTTACACAGAAAGTCATTAGCAACAGTTACCTAATTTGCAACTGAACATTAGCCTCTTACATACACCAGTCATTCATAATATTTATTTTATGCATACCTGTATTTTGATTTCTTTATAATAAGCATAAAAATGCTAAGTATTTTGACAGTAAACATTATTATGTTCATGTCCATGCACCCTCTCTGTAAATGAAAGGAATTTCATGATTTTGGAGTCGAGCTCATTCAAGAGGCCTACATAATCAAACTTCCCTGTAGCCTCCCACTCAGAAGTTCTCTTGGCTCATCAGACAACCCTCACCAAGAAACGTGGGGCAGGAACATGTGATTAGCCTGAACCCCGAAATCTTGTGTTCTTGTGTGTGGGTGTTTACTGTATTTCATCTACTGAGAGAAGGAAATTAGCTGTTGTGCAAATGTTCGGACTTTTAGATAGAAAACACTGAACATGGTCATTTGACATGTTGTTTGGGAAAACAAACGTTTAATCCAGCAGGGGGGTGGGGGGACTTCCCAGTAGTAGGCAAATGGGTATGTGCCGCTGGAGGGGGTTGCATTTTCACAACTGGATATTGACTATTTTGGGGTTGCATTTTTATAAGAGTTACTAGAATGGGGTTGCACATTTTCAGGATTTTAGGGATCAGAAAATTCAGGTATGTAGGGATTTAAAAATAGAAAGATTTACACCACATTAAGTATTAACAAATATGTCAGTTTCAGGATGACCATTAGTTAAAAGGCTTGATAAAGTAGATACATGAACAGAAAATGACTAAGTTGGGATTGTGAAAATTACTTTTCCCCAAAGTGACTTTAAGATGGGTTCTATAAATGGCAACAGAATAGCCTACAATGGGTAGGGGTTCTTAGGAGACTAGTGGCACCTACCCATCAAAAATTAAACCAGTTACGAAGTACTGTTACTGTATACGCTTTTTAACCTTTATATAATTATGTGATATGCATGCATGGTTCTTGTCTAGTTTTAAATCATTTATTTATTTCAATACAAAGTTCCACTTAGTGTAAGTTATTTATAATGTGTGATTCATTTTTAGATGTATTTAAAAGACTAGTTTATATTTTAAAAAGCTTTTATTAGTTCTCTAGTAGCCTGTAGTTAAACAACAACTAAGTAAGAAATTTCATTATAATTTTTCTTCACAAATGAATGCAAATAAACATTAAGAAGACATATCGTCAAATTGAAATGGTGCTAAAATTTTTAGAACGATGTTTTAATAGAAAGATATATATTTTACTGTGCTGATTTCACTGGTGGCGAGGTGACCAGATACCGTTCATGGGTATGATACCTTTTATAAGGCCAGTATATATTGTCAATAATGAAATGGTGCTAAAACTTAAATTTTTTGAACGATGTTTTAATAAAAAGATATATATCTTATTGTGCCAATTTCATTGCTAGCGAGGTGACCAGATACCGCTTATGGGTACATGATACCGTTTTTAAGGCCAGATGAGTATATATTGTCAATAATGAAATGGTGCTAAAACTTAAATTTTCAGAACGATGTTTTAATAAAAGGATGTGCCGATTTCATTGGTGGTGAGGTGACCGGTTACCATTCATGGGTACATGATAACTTTTATAAGGCCAGGCTACATTAGTGAAAGGAAACAAATCCACCATAACAGAAATTTTACCTTTAAAAAGCGGTGTTTTGCATAGGCTCCCCTTACGTCTGCATTATAGGGGTAGTGGTCAATTTTTTTTGGAGGATGGGAAGGAACTTTTACTACGTCTTGTCCCCCTACCCAAGTGTTGGGGGGGGGGGGTACAAAAGAGAAGAAGGAGTTTTCAGTTTTTTTTTTCAGAAACATTTTACCCTGTCATAAACTGTATCACATCTACACTTAGCCTCGCTTTGAGAAAGAGGCTTGCTTTGTTATACAATTAGTTACAGATATTTCAGAGCTGGTTTACATTCAATCCTTTCTTTAATTTGCTGACACAGACACTCATTAAACGAAGACCCATTTCAATTTTAAAGAATGACAAACTGTAAAATATAGATTAAACGTTAACCAAAACATTATTGCAAGAGAGACATTTACAAACTTCTACTCCTCTTAAATAAATTGATCATTAATTTGCATTAAAAAGCACACAGGGTCTTTCCATTCCACTTGATTTTTTCATATGTCAGTGGGTTTTAACAAATGTGGGCTCTGAATTGTTAATACAATACTTTCTTATCTTTTAAGTGGCGGCAGTAACGTACCAACTTGTTTATCAAACACTTACTTACAAAAAAATAAAACATTTTCCTATACATGTTGTACAAAGTTCCAGATATTTCAGAGCTGGTTTACGTTCAATCCTTTCTTTAATTTGCTGACACGGACACTCATTAAACGAAGACCCATTTCAATTTTAAAGAATGACAAACTGTAAAATATAGATTAAACGTTAACCAAAACATTATTGCAAGAGAGACATTTACAAACTTCTACTCCTCTTAAATAAATTGATCATTAATTTGCATTAAAAAGCACACAGGGTCTTTCCATTCCACTTGATGTTTTCATATGTCAGTGGGTTTTAACAAACGTGGGCTCTGAATTGTTAATACAATACTTTCTTATCTTTTAAGTGGCGGCAGTAACGTACCAACTTGTTTATCAAACACTTACTTACAAAAAAATAAAACATTTTCCTATACATGTTGTACAAAGTTCCAGATATTTCAGAGCTGGTTTACGTTCAATCCTTTCTTTAATTTGCTGACACGGACACTCATTAAACGAAGACCCATTTCAATTTTAAAGAATGACAAACTGTAAAATATAGATTAAACGTTAACCAAAACATTATTGCAAGAGAGACATTTACAAACTTCTTAACTCCTCTTAAATAAATTGATCATTAATTTGCATTAAAAAGCACACAGGGTCTTTCCATTCCACTTGATTTTTTCATATGTCAGTGGGTTTTAACAAACGTGGGCTCTGAATTGTTAATACAATACTTTCTTATCTTTTAAGTGGCGGCAGTAACGTACCAACTTGTTTATCAAACACTTACTTACAAAAAAATAAAACATTTTCCTATACATGTTGTACAAAGTTCCAGATACTTCAGAGCTGGTTTACGTTCAATCCTTTCTTTAATTTGCTGACACGGACACTCATTAAACGAATACCCATTTCAGTTTTTAAAGAATGACAAACTGTGAATTGATTATTGAGTTCATTACTCCACAATTAGGTTTGGCTCCAGTATATCCAGTCTGAATTTTTTAATAAAAATTTCATTTTCTTTTAAAACATACACAAGTTCTAAATACCGGTACTTACATTATCATTTATGTCTCTCGTGCATTGATGATTATTTTCTTTAAAAAATAAACAGGACAATTTCTTCAAAATAATGATTTCTTAGTTAACCACCCTCTTTAAACAGTTATTATTGTATTAATGCAAGATGTTCACGAGGCTTGTAGATACTTGACTGATGTCTATAAATTTTAATGTCAAAATTGAGACATTCCTTGTGTTTCGTAAAACTTAAAATCATTACATGTATTCTATCACATCTTCTCAAACACCACCATTTGCCATCCCCGTACTCAGGTCCCTGATATCAAGTCCTGAATCCAAAGCAATCACTTCAGGGTATGTTAGCCCATTGGGTGCCACAAGATGAGAGATGAGGTTTTTCCACTCCTCTTCACACAATTCATTGTTGTTGCTGTTCAAGCCACCTGCAGGAAACAACAAAAGCTCAGAGGTCTGGATTGTTTCCTCTCCAAAATGTACCCCATTTGATGATGGTGTCACAACAGCTTTGTCCCCCATTGAAGTGTATTTCTGGTTGATTACAACTACGGTGGACAAGATGAAAAATTTCATCTCCTCCCTTAAAAGGATTATATAATTTGCATGTAAATTAAAAATTACATTATCTAACAAGTTTATGGAAATCTGGATGGGAGGGGGGACTTTGCACTTGAAAGTCCTTAGGAGAGGGGGGGGGGCTCAAGCAGTTTAGAAATCTGGGTGGAAAGTGGGTGAGAGGGAGGGGGTCAAAAAATTGTGCCTTTTGGTGGGGTGGAGGCTATGGATTTTTGCTGGAATAACCCATTAAGTCAGACTGTTCTTCAGGAAGAAATGATAAATCAACATAACGTCATATTGTTGCAGATCGGCACTGTATGGTTACGTACCTTTCTGGTTGTCTAGTAATAGCTCTGGTTTAGTGCAACTACCATTAGCTGGTACTACCACTATTCCCATTAGCAGCGTTCTTGGTGTTTCTGTGTTGTAAAGTTTTTCTGGCCATACTAAGGGCCCCATTACGAGTCTCATTGCCACCAATAAAACCACTTGCATGGACAAATATACATCCCTGAATTCCACTGAGTGAACTGAGGGGCTCATCTCTTATTCCACGCCATTCTTCCAACAAGCTCAGCCTATGGGTCAGAAGCAGATGTTAGGCAAGTGTCAGGAGTTGTTTGTACAGCCATTTTCATGGTGATGACATTTTACTACAACTACCACAATTTATCAATTTTGTTTTTCCTTTCTTAATAAAACATATCAATTCTGCAGAGGTTTAAAATAGACAATAGCTCTAACCAATTTTGCACAAGAAAACCACAAACTGAAGGATTGTGGTAGTTGTAGTAAAATGCCATTATCACACAATAAATTAAATGTCCTGTGTGACAATCACACTGGCGTCACCTATTAGTATTATGCCATCCAGAAGTGCACAGGTTTTTGAAACAAAAGATTCTTTTGTTTCACTCGTCACAAATTTGAATTACAAAGAATTAAACGATGTTTGCAAAAAGCAATTATTGACACCAAAGCTGTATCATGTCTAAAAGCTGTCCAGTTTAACATTGAGCTGCCACTGATTAGATCAGTGACGCATAATACATGTAATTCTATACACCTAAAAAGTTTGACCTTTTTTCTGTGGCAACTGTTATGGACATAATTATCATGCATAATGATTACCTGTTTTCAAAGGAATCAGGGCGGACAGGAACACACTACGGCAGGAAAAAAAAAAGATTTTAATATTAATTTTCTACCATTATTAGTAACCGTAGGATCAGCATTAGCCACAGCAGTGTTTTTGTGTTGCCATTTTAGGGGATTTTGTGTACTATTTGTATTCCATTTGGTTCTGGTGACTCACTGGATAATAAATTTGTTTGCGCAGCTGTGTAGTACAAAGAGTCAACACGAAGATGAGACACTTACACTTGGGTGTTTACAAGAGGTCCCAACTATTATTATAGTGCATTGTCTTTAGAAACTTTGGAGCTTTGGACAGGAGGCTGGCAGTGTACAAAAGATGGTTGCACAAAGACCTTTCAATGCATTTTTTTGAAGTTTTGCAGCTCAAAGTAAATCTGCAAGACAAAGCCCTTGAAAGCAACTGCACATGTATACATGTATTTTAGTTATGAGTTTAATGAGTTGTTCTCCAGTGTTAAGGCCCCAAATGAATGACATATTATTCAATTATGTTACCTACTTACCTGTACTCTCCATTTGTGATTTTGATCTGTATATATGACAAACTTAACCTGCCCCTCAATGTTTAAGTCTTTCTCTAATTCAAACAAATGTTCTTTCCAAGGGAATCCACCTTCTTCAAACTCTATGATCTCACCACTAGGGTCAACCTAATTGACAATTAGGAAAGAAGAACAGAACACAATCAGTTTATACTACAACCAACATTCGAGTTCTTTTTCTAAGGCCAATAGCCTATTTCTAAGTTAAGGGCCAAGTACTGATGGTATTATTTCCCTCCTATTTTAGAAAGGTCACATAATACTTAATTACTCTTTCTATGGTCATGAATACTCAAGGGAGAACTGGGATTGCTCCACCCAAAAAAGTAAAGGATCATTACACATTTCCGGGAAACTGCCCACCTACCCCTCCCCAAAGCCAATATTTTGCCCTATATAAGTGAGATTCCCCATTGATGTTGGCTTAGGGAAGGGGTTGGCGGGCAGTTTCCCAGACATGTAATGATCATGATCCAAAGAAACTATGGAAAGGGCACTGTCCATTTCCCCCTAATATAGTGTTGTTGGTCTTCCGGGTAAAAAGAAAATGTGAGGCAATAGTTTCTTGAATTTTATGGCAGCATCATTTTTTTCACAGAAGTGAATTTTAGAACAGCAAGATGTACCTCTTGTCGTTTACACAGTGCTTCCTTCACCAGACCTCTTGCAGGTAGCCAGGAGTCACGGTAAAAACAAACTCTGTCTAAAAACTCCTCCCCAACTAAATTCATGGCCTTCTGAAACTGTTTCTGTTGATGAAGATTTAAAAAAAAATACATTACTGAGCTTTACTGCAAGTAGTGGAGGAGTTAGACAGTTAAATGAGTGAGTTAGTTTCCCTTCTAGAAGAGTCATTATATGACTTCCTATTAAGAGATATAGTCACATTTTCAAGGGAACAAGCAATTTAACGACTACTGAACAAATGCAAAGGTACTTAACATAATACACTTAGTTCTGTCATCCGCCTGTGTCTTTCCTTGTCCACATTTTGTGTATTTAAAAAAACCTCACCACATTCACATTCAATTGAGAGTTCCCCTTTCACTAAGTTAACAGAGTTACCTATCTATTGTTACAGTTGTACATACCTCAGAATCTGGATTTGGATCATTCCATCGTGGATTAAGATGAGACACTCTAGAACTCAAGTTTGTGTTGATGGAGTACCTGTTTTTAGAGGGTTTGATATTGTAAAATCATGTAATTGTTACTTCACTTGTAAATGATAATAAACAATCATTTATCAACATCATTTTTTACCCACTCCTATTCACAAAAACATAGTCTTTATAGGCTCTTGTGCAAATCTTGTTACAAAACAGGTAAAAAGGCACTGAATACAATAAATTGATCTCATATTGGGTTCAGTATCCCACACTTCAGCCAGGTTGGTTAAACAAAATTCAGGCAGTTGAAGGAGATGTTTTTGAAAGTGTATCATAGATCTCTGGGATAAAGCAATTTTTTTTCTTGTGTAGACGTTCGCCTGTAAAAAGTAGACGGTGTTACCTTGGCTCCCCATCGCACTGACTGATCCCATTGTCAATAGCATCAATTTCCTGAACAAAGTTTTCATAAATTTTGTCATATATTTTACGGGTCACATCATTGTCTTCTTTGGTCTTGAGAATTTGTGAGATGACTCTTTGTCCAAAGTGAAGATAAACAAGGCCTGCACTACTGAGTTTTGTGACCCAAGGTTTGTTTGGGTTCAGTGTCTTCATGCATCCTGTGAAGCTTCTATAATAATAATGAAAATTAAGAAATTGTTATGGTAAAAATTCCTTCCTAATAGTCAACTAGGGATAATATTATGGCTCCAACTTT